ACTTGAAGGGGTTCTTGTGGTGCTGTCTGAGGGGGTGTTCCCATCTGGTAGAACTGAGGTCCAAACGAGGGTACAGCCCCGACTGGTGGCTGATGGCATGCTCCAGTCGTAGCTGTCCACTGCCTTGGGTCTACTCCGCGTGGAACTGAAGCTGGTCGCGCTGGCAACGACCTTCCACGTTCTCTTCTCCCACGGGCACTTGGTGACCTTGCACCAGAAAGCCCTGTGGAACTCAGGCTGCTTGCACTGCGGCCTCTCGGAGAACGGTCTCGTCCAGGCACACGTTCTTCACCAGTGTCCATGCTGGAGCACGAAGCTCCGCTACCACGTTGAAACTCGTGGCACAGCTACGGGGGCCTAAGGGACCTCAGGTCAAGACTACACTCAACCCTCACAGCACGAAGTGCGGACTCTTTTCACTGCGCTGTTCACAGCTTCTCGAGCTCCGCTCGTCTTGAGCCAATGCGAGCACGGCTCTCCAGCTTCAAACACTGTCTGCCAGACATGGGAAAACAAAGGTACTTCAGGTGAAAACACTCAGCCATGGAACTTCTACTCCTAAACACTGTGGGTAGGTTCCTAGCACCTCTTAGGTGCTCTGCTGAGCTCTGTGCAGACCTAAACTGGCTTGAGTCACTTCTGGTCACCAAATACCAGGTCACAAACAGGAAACGAGTTCCGACAAACGAGTTTCGAGAAAACGAACAGAAAACGGTTCTTCCCACTCAAAACAAGGTCTCACCAAGCCAAAACAAATCTGCACTGCCTGACATGTCCTCGTGCCTATGCTTCACACTCATAGCAGACAACTCAAGTGCACATCACGTGTCAACTGGGAAACTAGGAGGGTCACATATATCAACTCAACTGCGAGCAACAGCCAACACAAAATGCGGTTTGCTTACTAAAAGACAAACTTAGAGTTTCAAACAGGCACAACTGTGTTCAGCCCGTCGCCTGCAATAGAGATCTGCAAAATCTAAGACGCCCGGACAAGAACCACGGGAAGACTTTGGCAACAAAACGCAAAGACAAGAGAGCCTGGCTTGGACAGATTCAAGCGGGAGGTTTTTGCGAACAGCTGGAGGCGCAGCAAGCCCAGCGCGCTTTGCTGTTGCAGAGCTGTTTTACATGATTTTGGGAGAAGACTGACACAAGAACTTGAACCGACTAAGACCTGAGACTTATTTTCAAAATTTCTGAAGTTTCCGAAAATGTTGAAAAAAACCCTCAAAATCAACACTTGATCAGTTAAATTTGTTGAATTTACTCTGGTGTTTCGCTCGCCTTGCTCGCACTTATTCACATTCTGGTAATACACTTTGCAATTTTCGAGTGGTTTGGCTTGGGCGTCGCGCACAACCTTAACGAATCAACACCACGGTTGAACTCGTCTCGTCCTGCAGTTGATTTCTGTCCAAACGGCACTGTCAGAGGCTTTTGAAAACACTTGTTTCAAAGCATTGAACTTTTCCAAGCTGCAGTTTCCACCGATGTTGACTCTGCACCCTTCTTTTCTCCTCTTCTGCCTTCAGGCCTTGCACCAAAACCTGGAGAATCTGAAACCCAAGATGAGGGGCAGCAAAATTGATCGAAAAGGTAGGGAAGCTCCAGTGACCTCCACAGTAAGGGGCGCAAAGAGGGGCTTTAGGGGCGCTTTGAGGGGGACTTGATGGAAAAACACTTGCAGCCATCTTACAGAAAGCGCACAGGCTTGCGCAAGTCCGTCACCTTATGCGGGACTGCTGCCACCAACATTAAGCTGTAAAAACAAGATTTCGAGTTCTGCAAGGCACTTTGCACAACACTTAAAACTGCAAAATTCCCACAAAAATCCAACTATAACTTAAGTTATTTCTACTTTCAAAAATGGAAAAAGAATTTCTGCAAGGTTGTTGCGAAACCCTCGAATGGATGTCCAAGCAATTCTTCTATCACACGGACCATACAAGCTGCATTGTCGGAACCTTGACTTGTTTTAGGTCAGGCTCACTACGCCAATGTCTGATGCGACCAAAAGTTTCAGGTTGCCTGAAAGCGAAGTGAGGGACCTTGGCCAAGAAGAACACCGTGCCGCGTTGGGCATTTCATGCCTGTGGCAACTACAAAGCAGTGTTGAAGTCGGTAGCTGCTGGAAATTATTGAAGAAGAAGAGAAGGTCAAGTGGAAGCGAATGCAAGTGGCATCACGGTTTGTGTGGAGAGATTCACGTTACGGATTCTTGAAAGGATGTTGAGTGAAAAGAAAGCATCCGAGCAAAGCCGATCATCGCAGGATGTGATGATAGGTGAGCGGACGAGTGAGTAGGAGATGAAAGATGCGGCAACAACTGCTTTGTTGGTGATGCGACGACTGGTGGTTCTTTCCTGAGTTTGCGAGATTGAAGGCTCTAATTACGTCGAGGTCGTGTACTGAGAGTGGGTGAGCCTGAGACTTGCATTAATTTGTTTTAACGAGTTTGTCGCCACGAACTCTTGGAGCCCTTCCAAGACAACCCTGTTTAGTGCAGGAGGATGCAAGTTGAATTGGATCTTTGGCATGAACCCTCAGCAAAATGCGGGGGGTGGAAGATCGTGGCTGATCATTGATGGTTTTGTCATGGATCAGCTTGTATAGAGTTGTTTTGCTTCGGAGTGATTGGGAATCTTTATGATCCCATCCTCGATGGTTTTTGCCTCGATGATTTCCTAGGAAATCATACGAGTATGTTTTTACCGAATACGCTACTTTGAGTGAGTGTGCAGTGTGTAGGAATTTTGTTCTGAAGCTGAGTTTAAGCTCACATGTGAATTCGTTTAGTTTGCGCACTTCGTGACTTTTGGCTCAAGGCCTGCGAGTGAAAAAGAGCGTGTCCGCACTTGGTTGAGATAGGTTTGGGTTCGTGCTTTCAAGGGAAAAGGTACCAGAGGGACCTTCGGTTTTTCACGGAGTTTGCCGCACGCCCAAGTGACGCTTTACGATCATGCTCCTCTCCTCTTTAGCGACTGGCAGTCGCATTTTTTTCGATTTTGCTACCTTCGTGCGGCTTTTGAGATTAATGCAATCAGATGCTTAGTAGGTGCTGGCTTGTAATGTACTCGAACAATCCTACATATTTGCCAGGCAAGATGGCAACTGCAAACACGGCGGCATGTGCACGTTGGTGCTCTGCGTTTGGACCTTACTTTCACAAGCGTGTTTTTCCAGTGGGGACCTAACAAGTCCTGGGCTTCTGCATATGAAAAGATTCGTGGCCCCGGTCACGTGCAGAGGGGCTTGCTCGTGTGTTTTTCTGGATTCTGGGATTTCTTTTCACTGTGGGAAGTTGCTGAGCAGGACTCAGTGCTGATGGGAATGAGAGTAGTCTCTCAACTCGAAACCCTACAAATCCTAAACCCTGAAAAACCATTAAAAATCCTCTGAATCTTTAGGTTGTAACAGTCCTCTCGGAGTCATCTGGCTTGCGAGGCTCCGGTAGCGAACCTGAGCCAGGGCACGCAGAGGGTTTGGGGGTTTGGGGTGAAAGGGTTCGGGTTTGCAGCGCCAATGTATGCCCTTCCCCACATGCTTGGTTTTCAGCACTCAAAATAATTGCCATTGAGAGCTCATATTGCTTTATCTTTTTGCCTGCTTTCCGAATAATTGATTGCTTTGAATGGTGTCGGTGCTGACGGCTGCTCGACCGCAGCTTTCGCGTTGAAAAGCTACGTTCACTCGCCCGTGCTTGCTGATTCCTGCACTTGACAGTCTGGATGCTGTGACAGGTTTTTGCACAAGTGACTCGCGCGCACTTGTGTGTTCCATACGTCGCTTCGTAGTCCTTGCTACGGCCGATATTGCCGATATCGTCCGATATATTCTTTTGATAGTTCATGCTCAGGCTTGATGAAGGTCGTTCCCGCAGTATCGCATGCTTCTCGGTCGCTCTCGGCGTGGTTCATCGCCTGGGGCCCGCGTTCCACCCGGATACCTTGTGCAGCTTGGCGTGCCGAAAGAGAAAGCTCGGCACTGACAAGTGCTTAAGCAGGCAGCGTCCACTTAGAGGCTGTGCAGCTGACCTGCAAGGCCCTCGTGTGCGCTTTTGTCGCCAATCCTGAAGCTTGGTTACTTCTTCCGCATGGACAGTGAGATGGCGAAAGATGCCACTCTGGCCATTCAGACTGCAACCATGCTGCTGGACTCTGACCACCACAACAGTCCGGGTGACACACATCTGGGATATAGCCATGGCCCTCAAGGGCTACGTGGGCTTGAAGGATGGAGAGCGGAATGGTTGACAGGACTTATGCAGTAGAAAGGCGATCTGGTGCTTTCGGGATGTGGGTGCAAGTGCAGAAGCTGTCGCGTCGTCGATCAGAAATTTCATGGGATTGAGAGTAGGAGCGAGAGGGGGGGTTGAATTACCAGTGGGGACAGAAGAATGTCAAAGCTAGAAAACAGCGGATGAGGGGGTGGTGATAGCACACTAGGGCTTAGGGGTTTGTTTTAGTTACTGCAGATGTGTATCAATTCTTGAGTATCGTGTTTCGTTGAGCATTCAGTATGACTTGCATCGATCAACATCGATCAACGATTCTCTGAATCTCACCGCTTCATCCTGAGCACCACAAACCGATCCCACGAGCGGCCAAGAGCTTTCAATTCTGAGCCCGCAAAACAAGTCCAAAGGGGGCTCAAGCTCGTGCGAACGTGTGCAACTTCAGGTTCGCGAGGGATAGCACGGCACGCTCCTGCTTCGTGTGGATGGGACTTTGTGCTACGCTATGTCAGTCGGCACATGCATCAGCCTGTTGCTGCATGTCGCCGTGATCACCTTTTGTTTTTTTGCATACTTGGTTACGTGTCCGTAGTGGCTATGGCTTGCAGACAAAGGCACCTCTAGCAAATGAGGGCTAGAGGCTGCATTTTTCAGCCCTCCTTCAGGGAGGGACGATGCGGCGCCCTGCTTTGACAGGACTGCGACATCCGTGCATGTTTCCTTTGCAATGTCTTTGTGCATGTCATGGGAATTTATTCGAAGGATGGCAATGACGCCTGAGCATGATTACGTCTTCAAGCTACTCTTGATTGGCCGCTGGCTCACATTGTGCAGGGCACATGTCTTTCCAGTCCCTTGAGAAAGCTTGTGGCAAGTTGATGCAGGTGATTCGGGTGTCGGCAAATCTTGCCTGCTACAACGCTTTGCCGATGACACCTACACAGAGAGTCACATCAGTGACCCAACCCTTGGTTGTTGAAACGCGGAGATTCCAATATCCTGTTCGTCCTATTCCTTAGCATGTAGGAACTCTGTTGCGCTGCCCTCATAAGTGGTTGGGCTTTTGACCTTCCTGTGGATGCTATGACTCAGGCAATATTCCTTAAGGGAGGTTGGAGCTTTGGGCAACAGACCACGTCTGCCACGTTTACGACCTCAAGCCCCCCTTAACAGCGATTGTTCCAGGTACAATCGGCGTCGACTTCAAGATAGGAACCCTGGATTTGGAGGGCAAATCCGTGAAGTTGCGGGTGTGGGCTGCCAACGGCCAGGACGGTGGGGTGGGGTTTGTGGGGTCTTAGGGACCGACTCTTTCCCAAAATAGGGTTTTCTCCTCCTCTTTCCCCTGATATAAGGATTTGATACCTTTTTTGGCGTGTACAAAGGCGAACTCTACTTTGAGAAGTACTCAAACGACCTGTTCTGAGCGGAGTCTTTTTTTGTTGTCTCTTGTGCAATTTTGCAGGAGAGCTTCAACGTGATCACAAGCAGCTACTACAGAGGTGCCCATGGCATCATCGTCGTGTACGACGCAACTGACAAGGTGCAAAAAATGTTGGAAGTTTAGACCGCCGCATCACCTGATCAGGGTTGCTTACGGGCGGAGGGGCAGTGGGGTTTCGGGTTCTTGTGAGGAGTCCTTCAACAATGTCAAGCATTGGATGAAGGCCTGGATGAGTCATGCTGGATTCAGGTGGAGCGTTTGCCTGGCAGCCGTAGCCAGGAGATTGATAAGCATGCAACGGACGGCGTGAACAAGCTGCTGGTGGGAAACAAGCCCGGCCCTGAATTCCTGCACAGGCCGCTCGTTCGCTTGTTTTGAACTCTTGCCTTTTCAGGTCTGACCTCTCGGCAAAGAAGGTGGTCTCGCATGATGAAGCCAAAGAGCTTGCAGACTCTCTCGGGGTCGCTCGGCTGCAATTGGTGAAGATGTGCTATAGTGTTTCACTGCCTGACAACGTGCCAGTGACAGGTTCAGTTCATAGAGACCAGCGCCAAGAATGCGCACAACGTAGAGAAGGCATTTTGTTGTGCGGTGGACTGTGCGACCGTGTGCACTTGATGCCATATCGGATTGTCAGAGGCCTTCCAGATGATGGCTGGAGAAATCAAGTTGACGACTCAGCGTCCGCCAGAGCCCTTCATTCACCAAAACGCCCCTTGCCCTCCCCAAGACCTCGCAAACTGCATTCCTCAGCTTGCCTACAAAGCCCCCTACCAAAAGCCCCAAACCCCTGTGCCCCCGAGCGCATCGATCCTCCGAGGAGTGCTTCCCAGCCTCAGCCTGTTCGGAGCAGCGTGGGCACCTCCCCGGGCCCGATCGCGCGAGCTGGCAGCTCAGAGAGGGTTTAGGGCTTCAGGGTGTAGGGTTCGCTTCTTTGTTTGTTTTTTTTTTTGGGGGGGGGTTTTAGTTTGGTTCGGCATCCGTTTGGCTTAAAGGGCTTCAGAGGTTGGGGTTTTTCGAGTCCTTGGCAGTGAACGTTTGGTAGACTTGTGGGAGCAACATGTAGCAACATGTGGTCAGGCTGGCGTGTCCGTTTGCGGGGCGGATGGGGGCAAACCCTAAACCCTAAACCCAAACCCCAACACCCACCATGAACCACGCGGGGGGGATGCCATGGGGGGGGGGGGGAGGGGGCGGGGGAGCGTGAATGCTGACGCATACACAGCAGGTCGCTGGCAGCGCCAACGTTGTGCTGCCGAAGAATGAAGATGACTCAGCCTCCTTCTCAGAATTTCCAGAGGTCCACGGGACATGTGTTGCATTGACGGCTGCGCCCAGGTTGCCTTACAAGGTGGGCAAGTCCTGGCATTCCGGCATGGCGTCCTAACAGTCTCCCAGGAAGGCTCGCTGGCTTCTCCCGTGTTCAATGTCACAATCAGGCCATGCAATGTCTCAAAGACCGCTGCACGTCTCTGGAGGCATCAAAACTTTCTGGAAATTGTAACCTGCATCTTTTCGACAGGCGCGCCGGCAGAAATCCAGCCAGCCTTTGCAACTCTCCAGCAGCTTGCTGAGATCAGCCGACACGAGGTGCTCCCTGCTTGTGCCAAGCATGTATGTGTGAGAGTTCTTTGAGGGGGGCGAATGTCAAGGCTTTCTCAAGGTTCTCGCCCGGCTTTGGCTTTTTGGGGTCCAGACCATGCGGGTAAGGCGACGCGTATGTGAAGTGCACTGCGCGCGAGGCTGACGTTTCCTCCAGCTTGGCCAGTGGCCCGGTGAAACCAGTGAACCCCCTGACGGGGAAGACGGTGAGCATCCTGGCTGCCGACTGCATGCTCGCAGGACCCTGAGGGTTTAGGGTTTAGGAATTTGGGTTTAGGGTTTAGGGTTTAGGGGGTCCCACTGCGCAGCTGTGGGCACTCTGGTGTCTTGCCCCTGAGTCCTCTGCTTGACAGACTTGTGAGGAAATGGCGTCTCTCCCGAAGAGTGCCAGGGCTGCAGCACTCCTAGCCCTCATCAGTTTAAGGCCACTTGTGCCCAAGTACGAAGTGTAGTTGAGGCCCCAATGAAAAGCCCAACCATAGCACTAGCCCCAATGGTTTGTGGGAGCTGGGGCGAGCACCCTATGCCCCCAAACCATCCCCCAAACCCCGAAGAGGACAAGTGAGTGCCGAGGTACTGGTCCATGCTGAGCATGGGGACTGATGGCTGCCGTCATCTTTCCTCGCTGCGGTGGGACACGGAGGCATACTTCGAGCCCGACAAGGATGCACACTGCAGGTTTCATGTTTGGGGGTTGAACTTATGAGTTCTGAGTGAGGGGAGTGAGGGGAGCAAGGGGAGTGAGGGGAGTGAGGGGAGTGAGGGAGGGGAGTGAGGGGAGTGAGGGGAGTGAGGGGAGTGAGGGGAGTGAGGGGAGTGAGGGGAGTGAGGGGAGTGAGGTGAGTGACTCTTCAACTTCTTGCTTACAGTAGATGATGGATCAGCTTCCGCATTGCAAAAGCTGGACGCTGCCTGGGAGTTCAGGACATCGCCTTTGGACACGCAGCTGCGTTAGACGAGACTGACACAGCTTGGGATTTCAGCTGATCAGTGACAGTTGGCCAACTCATGTGAGGTTGGTTGTGTAGGCACGCCGTGCAAGGCAAGTACTACTCCAATCACGGGGGCTTCGTCATGGAAGAGCACATCATGGGATTTGATGCTGCCTTCTTCGGCTTCACGGATGAGCAGGACCTCAACCCAAACCCTAAACCCTAAACCCTAAACCCTAAACCCTAAACCCTAAACCCTAAACCCTAAACCCTAATCTCTGATGCTTGCACTTTGCCCATGCTGAAGTTCTGCGGAAGACGACACGTAGGCATCGCTGATGGATCCGATCCAGCGCAACACCTTGGAAGTTGGCACTTCGGCGCTGTTAGTGGCTTGTTATTGAGTGCGCAGGGCCACGAGCCGGGGCCCAGTTCTCTGCAAGCGGTGCTGCTGGCAGTGCATGTTGAGTATGCATGGCTCAGGCTACTCAATTCTGCTGAAGGCTGGATGGAACAGGAAAAGGCTGAATAATGCCAACATGGGTGCCACGCTTAGTGTCGAGATGACCGCCAGAAGCTGGCTGCTCCTTCGCTAGCAGGCTCTAAGGGTGTGAGTGTACTCGTGGCGCGAGGTGTCTATATTGGCAACTGTGGGACTGACTGGTCCGGCGTCAAGCCGCCGAACTTTGCAGACTTGAATAGCCGCCAGACTGCGATTTGCTTTGCAGCTCCAGATCCCTTAAAGCAGAGCTGTGGTCCTCGCCAAGGTGTATCGGGTGACTTGATGGCTTTCAGGAGCATGGGCGGGAAACAGCAGAGTTGTCCCATCCACTTGCCCTTTTCGTGCGAGAAGCTGCGGTAGAATTCCATCCCCACATCGTTGCCTCGCAGGCTGTCGGCGATGTCAGCACACTCAACCAGCACACGACTGTCGTACATATTTGGCATGCGGGGTCCGATAAGTACCTCGGACACAGCCTGCTCCTCGTCTCTGGTGTCGCCTCTTGGCACTTCATTCAAGTAAGGGGCTGTTCTAGATTCGGGTCCCCCTACGTTGAATTGAAGGTAGTTTAGGAAATTTGCTGGCGGCCCTCCGCAGCTCACATGCGTGCACAGGGCCTCGAAATCGATGACCGTCTCAGGGTTTCCTGTGGTCCGGAGACTCTTAGCAAAGCGCTGTGCGCGCACTCCAAATCTCGAACGATGACCTTCTCTGCGTCCTAGCACCTGCCCAGATTGCAAATGGCATCCTCCCTTCGCATGGTGCCAGGTGCCATCTCGCGCTTTCCCTTCGATCCTGTACGCCTTCGGTACACTAGAATGTTTTTCGCCTCGGCTTCGTGCCTCTCTTCTGGGGACTCTGCATGTCGCGGTGCCGATGGTGCTCTCGCCTCAGTCCGGTGCGCATGCTCCTGCAGAACTGCTCTTGGAGTGCTCTTGGAGTGCTCTTGGAGTGCTCTTGGAGTGACTTTGGAGTATAACCCGAAACCCTAAACCCGAAACGCTATACTCTTAAAATTGTGTCCTTGGAGCTCTTGGCTGCTCTTGGGATTCTGAGTCGGAATGCTCTTGGAAGTGGTGTTACACTGTTTGAGTCGACGCCGGTATAATTAAATAACCTCTGTGTTCGTATTCCTACACACAAAGACCCTAAACCCTAAACCCTAAACCCTAAACCCTAAACCCTAAACCCTAAACCCTAAACCCTAACCCTAAACCCTAAACCCTAAACCCTAAACCCTAAACCCTAAACCCTAAACCCTAAACCCTAAACCCTAATCCCTAAACCCTTAACCCTAAACCCGAAACCCGAAGTAACTTAGAAAGAAAGGCCTGTGGTTTTGTCGACCAAGGACTGGTACAGCTCACAACGCATCTCGTGTGCAGCGAGTTGTCTTCAAGCCAGTTCTGGTCCGCGCAATCGCAGCGCAGCCAGGGTTTAGGGTTTAAGGTTTAGGGTTTAGGGTTTAGGGCTAAGGGTTTAGGGTTTAGGGTTTAGGCTCGGGGTGGAAAGCTTTTTGGAGCTTTCCGGCCCCGGTTTTAGAGCAGCTGGTGCAAGGCCCTTCGGCAGCTTGACCCGGGGCAGAGCAACATCACCAGCAGCACCGGGAAGACCGAACATGCCCTGGCCATGGGTACAAATGGCCTGCTCCTTGCCGCAAGTAGCGCCTAGACCCTGTACGTCTTGGACTGAGCCCTCCGACTTAGATTCCCTGCAGCCGGAAGCCTTAAAATTTGTCACTCTAATGCGGTTCTGAAGCCTAACTTAGATGAGACCTTTCGGTTAGAACAACCTCTATGAGAACCTTAACTCGCTCGACCTTGCCAAGAACACCCTAAACCCTAAGCCCTAAGCCCTAAGCCCTAAACCTTAAACCCTAAACCCTAAACCCCCGACCCTAAACCCCAAACCCTAAACCCCAAACCCTAAACCCTAAACCTTGCAAACCCTAAACCCTCTGAACCTGCGCAGTCCTCTGAGGTTCGGGCCCTTCTCCTGGATTGGGCTCTGCGGTCCGAAGATGCTTTCGGCGCCTCGGCGCCGCACCCTACTTGAGGGCCGAGGACCCGTAACCAAAAAGGTGTTTAGGGTTTAGGGTTTAGGGTTTAGGGTTTAGGGTTTAGGGTTTAGGGTTTAGGGTTTAGGGTTGTAGTTCGATCCTTCCAGACCCTACCCAACCCCTCACATCTAACCCGTGCACAGCCGATGCAGGTATTTCCCAACTAGGGGTAACCCTAAGCCCCCCGAAAAAGTATCTCCAAACCCGAAACCCTCCTCTTGGAGGTTATGAGCTTGAGGGTTGGTAGAAGGGGTAGTAGGAACCAACGAATAATGACTAGGAGCAGGAGATCTACGAAACTGAATAGGTACGTCATCAAGAGGGTCGTAAGTAGATTGCATAGCTTACATGCACTACAAGCATGGACGAACCTCAACCCCAATCCTTCCCTCAAAAACCCACACCATCGGCGATCTTTTGTCGCACTTGAGCCATGTCGAATGGCGGTACACTTCTCGAGTGTGCGTGTCATCTTGTACACTTCTCGAGTGTGCGTGTCATCTTGTACACTTCTCGAGTGTGCGTGTCATCCTTGTGCAGGATCCGAAACACCTCCCTTATCCGAAACCCCAACCCTAAGCGCTAAACCCTAAACCTAACCCTGTTCCCTAAACCCCCACAGCGCAATGTTACAAGGCAAAGGGCCGCTGCTTCACCTTTGACTACGGCGCTGACGGCTTCGGCCGCGGGGAAGGTGCCTTTCTTCGCTCTGAGGTCTAGGGTCTAGGGTTTAGGGTGTAGGGTTTTGGGGTTTAGGGTTTAGGATTTATGGTTTTTGGGTTTAGAGTTTGGGGTTTGGATTTAGGGTTTAGGGTTGAGCTTAGGATTGGAATTCAGGTAGGGTCTAGGGTTTAGGGAAGTCTGGCGTTTTCGTGTTTAAGGTTTACTGAAGGTTGAGGGCCTAGCGGTGTCTATGCGCCGGTATTGGTAGAATCTGAAGCCCGATTCTCCTATGTGAGACGTCTCCGAAACCCACAAACGATCGCTTGTTTAGGGTTTAGGGTTGGGGTTTGGGGGGGAAGGGGGACGCTCGAATTATCGATTTCGGAGCCTTGAGTGATTTTTCGTTCGTGTCTGACTCAGCTGGCGTAGGGCACATGTTGGAGCGCGTCGGAGTAGATCGGTGCTGCAGAAGATGAAGCAAAAGCCGCCAAATCAAAGGGAAGTCCTGGATAGGAGGCTGCACATGGTCGCCGGTACCCAAAACCTGCCTTCAATGTTAACATTTGGCTGCCGCCGAACTCTACCATACGTATCCTTGTTGTGTACTTCTGTCTTCGTCTTGTGCCTTCTTTCTTGTTATTTAGCTGCCGGGGGGCGATTGCACCAAAAAGTAAAGTAGCACGCCCAGGCGATCTCGACCCAATTCTTATCTACGGCGCCTAAGCCCTACTCCCTGCGGGCTGGATATTCTGACTTTTTCAGAGGTCATAGTTCGTGCAACATCACGGGCACTCGCACACTTTCCGGTTGCTGGCAGGCACCAGCGGAATCTTCATGCAAGTCACCCACGAAGAGCCCACAGACAGACTGGCGATCTTCTGTGGCACCTGCATCAACCAGGATGGCAGGCCGTGACCCGCGAGAAGTGGGGGCAGGGAGGGTGACGTTTACGTCTCTTCGGATCTTCTGCTCCGGTGAGCTGAGTGTGATATGAGAGCTACGAGCCTGCAACACCTAGAGCCCTGCTTGTGCACCTTGAGTCCTAGACTCTTTGTCCCAATAGGTCCACGTACACATAGGGAACACTTAGACCTCAAAAAGGGGAATGGGCGGGCCAAGCGTCTCAGCTTGGGCAGACGGAAGGAGTGCCTCAATGACCGCACCGCATGGCCCCTCACAGCAGGACTATCGGTGTGGAGTTTGGGGGCTTCGGATTCGGGCTCAGGGTTTAGGGGCTGACGGCCTGAGCTTCGGTGTTTAGGGTTCGGGGGTTAGGGTTCAGGCTTATGGGTCTTGTGAGAAGGAGCGATCAAACGCAGCGAGTTGTGCGGCTGATTTGCTATGGCCTGATTGTGGATCCTAAGGTCTAAACCCTAAACCATGGCCCCTCTTATCTCCGTTCAGCCATTCACTGGGGGTTTAAGCTAGAATTGGCTCACAAGACATGTCAACTGAATGTTGCACTGCCGAACTTCCCCAGACACCTTCGGGCCTTAGGGTTCAGGGCCCCCTCCCCCAGGGACTCCATAAGATCTTGTGCCCAACACAGCCCTTCAAGGGCTGAGGAGTTTGGATTGAAAGGGTTTCTTGACCGGAAGGGTTGCTTGAAATGAAAGCCATGAACCGTAAACCCGAACCGTAAATCAACGACGGGCTTCGGAAACGACAACCACAAAAGCTGGCACCTGAAACCCAGGGCTACAGCGTTTTGTAGTAGGGTCTTTGGGGGACTTTATGGTTTTAGGCTAGTTTAGGTGAATGACCCCCGAGACCTGTGTGCTGGAGGAGTGTATTCGTGCCTCACTGCGGGAAGCGAATGTCACTCCGGCAGACATCAGGCAGAGAATGGACAAGCTAAACCCTAAATCCCAAACCCTAAACCCCCAAATCTTTCCCCGTGAAAACCAGGGTGGCCGAACTTCATGGCACCGGCACTGCATTGGGCGATCCGATAGAAGTCGGAGCTCTGCGAGGCGTTATGAAGATGCTTCGTCTGCAGTTAAAGGCTTGCGACAGTTGCAGCATGGTAGCCCTTGATCAGAGCAGCTTGCCTTCTTCCTGCGATCGTGCGAAGGGAGCGGAGCGTGCCGATCATGAAGACCAGTGCGAAATCCAACTTGGCCCACGGCGAAGCAAACGCAGGGATGGCAGGTCTTGTCAAGTGCATCCTGATGCTGAACCACCATACTGTCGCACCGAATGTGCATTTCTACTGCCTAAACCCGCACGTGGACATGAACGGCTATCCCTGCCAGATCTCAGCGCCTTGCCTCTTTAGCCGGACCAATGAGCACTGAGCACTGAGCACTTCCTCTGTGCCCTACGCAAGCTAGGCCCTAAACCCGAAACCCTAAACCCCCTCAACCCTAAACCCTTGTCAAAACCCTAATCCCTAAACCCGAGATGGCGCCAATGCGGGCGTTGATAAGCATGCGTGTACGCCACAGCTAACAAAAACCCTAAACCCAAAACCCATATCCCCCTTGGGAACTATTTTGTGTTTTTGTTCATATTAAACCCAAGAGGATATTTAAAACAATATTTTTAATTTGTCTAATTTTTGTTCATATTAAAACCCAGGAGGATATAGAAAAGAATATTTTTATCAAGGTTCTAAGGGGAGTATAGAAACCCTCCAGGGAGAGCTCCTGGATCTGGGCAGCAATAGTGGCTACGCCGGTGTCTCCTCCTTCGGCTTCTTTGGCGCCAACTTAGCAAAAGCCTGCGCCAGCGGGTTTAGGGGGTAGAGTTTTTTGGATGTTAAGTTGCTACACTCAAGGCAGCACGTGAAGGCTCGAAGGCCCTAGGCTTTCTCCGCATCTGGAAACTACTCTGCATGAATTCAAGTCTCGATCGATAGCCTGCCAAGCACAATGGGGGCGTAGATTTCCTTCAAAGCAACGATAGCAGTAGATAAAAAAGCAAGTCACCATCCAAGAAATTGCCGCCTCTCCTCTGAGACCCCTAGGCGTATTGTGTGCTCTAGCTTGGAGAGGACTTGCCAGGAGAGCTGTTGTTGGATGTCGGTGGTATGCCTTCACAGAAGCCCAGCTCAATGCCGTCGAGCCCACGCTAGCGTCAAAAAACCCCAAGCTCGAACCTACAAACCCATAGTCCGGCGTGTTTTGGCAAGGCAAAACCATGCAAAACCTCAAGGTAGAGGCGAAGTGACCCTAAACCCTAAACCCTAAACCCTAAGCCCTAAACCCTAAACCCTAAACCTTAAACCCTAAACCCTGGAAGCCACTGGAAGCCACTGGAAGCCACTGGAAGCCACTGGAAGCCACTGGAAGCCACTGGATCCCCTGAACCTCCCTGAACCCACGATCAAGGCTTCGGCGGCACCAATGCCCGTGCCGACATCTGGGCCAAGGCCCAGGCAGGCGTCGGAGACTTGACTTCGTTGTGTGCCGGGTTTAGGGTTTGGGGTTTGGGGTTTGGGGTGTGGGTTGTGTTCTTCGGATTGGGCCTTGGGCCCCTCCACCCCCCCCTCCCCCCCGTCAAAAGAAGAAGCAAGCTAAAGCATCACATCGAACGGCACATATACAAAACGATGCCTATCCCACCCATGGCACGACGAACTAAGGAAGAGCACGAAAGGTGGACCTCAACAAGCTTGTCCCTTTGCTCAAGCAAGTCAACCTGTTCCAAGGTTTCTGTGTGCTTCATAGTTTTTTGACGATTGCGAATGCAACCTGAACAGAGGAGAACGTGACAGTGCGCTGCCCGTTCCTTGGCTCAGCTGAGTCGTGTCGAAGGGAGGATAAACAACTCTGCGAGATGACATACTCAGGGTATAGGGATGTATAGTTAGGGTATAGGGATGTATAGGGTTTTTGGTATGTCCTGGATGTATAGAGTTTTGGTATGTCCTGCAAGAGTCGCGAGGCAGTGCTTGGGAAGTATGGAGTGGAAGAGCGCTTGCGCAGTGCCGTCGCGGCTGCCAAAGCAGGGTCTTCCCAGGGCCTTCTGCGTCCGCGAGTCAGGCAACTACGACTTCTGCAGCAACCTGGCTAAGTGGCGTCACAAGTTAGGTGATTAATGTTGTACTGGCTTCAATAGGTAACCCCCCCCCCCCCCCTCCCAAAAAAACAAAAAGTCTGGGACTCGGGGATAGGGGACGCACGCGTTCTCGGCAGATCGTTTGTAGAGAACCGCGTGAACTGCGCGTAGGGACAAGCCAGAGCGACGAATGCCGTACTACCGTCGCTCAAGCCACTTTCCCACCCACGACTACCCAAACGGGTGCCAGCCTCCGGCCGGCTGTATGCGCCCCCCACGCTGGTCCCGACTTTCGGCGGACTCCGCAACCAGGTCGCGCGATGCGCTGCAACGCAAAAAGGGTGCCATCACCGTGGGGTGCACATCCGTCCATTTTGATTTTGAGTGTAGCGGCGCTTGTCTCAGTTGTCTTGGGGCGATTCATGGGGTAAACCAACGGGTCTCGCTGTTTTGGGTCGCCTCGGTAGTCTTTTGGGCGGAAAACTAATTGGCGTTCTGCGTGGGAGGTGTTGCGATGTGTATTGCACATGGGTGCTTTCAGAACCCCTGAAGCTACCTTGTTTTTAGAGCAGATAACCTGAACATGCAAAGCTCATGCCGTGGTTCTGCCATGGATTCTTTTGCGGACTGGATGCCCTGGTACCATGGATGTTATCATGCTGTTGATAAGGCTTAAAGCGGCTTAAACTTGGCATGGCATTCTTGAAAAAGCAGCGTGAACAGCAAACAGGAACAAGAGGACAGCACTCCAGCAGCCGCAGCAGTCCCAAGAACCAACGCCGTCTGTTCATGTCTGTTCCCCTGAAGCCCAAGGCCCTAAACCCTAAACCTGCGAGGTCTCTGCTACGAGGGCTCCTACAGCTTTGGCCAGCCGCCCCCAGAAGACCCGCTATTGCCGAGCGCCGCCTACATCAAGGGTTCATGGACAGTCTCTTGGTATCACCCAGGATGTGTCGGTGCAGGTGTCTGAAGTAGCTGTCCACTATTTTTTTCACAACCGGCATCCGAATCTTGCAAGGCCTTCTCAGAGTTTGAGGAGATGAAGCTGGAGGCATCGTCATTGTTGCAGGATGTTGGAGTGCCTTTCTGACGGACAATTCTTCTGCATAAAACCGTAGGCCCTAAAGCCCCAAAGCCCAAAAAGCCAAAAGCGCTGAAACCTCGAAACTCCAAAATCTCCTAAAACCCTAAAGCCCTCCCGAGGATGGCGCCTTTACCTTCCAAGTTCGCCTTGGCGAGACGCGGTTGGAGCGCTTCTACATCGCCCTGCAGCAGAACGCAGCCCGACAGATTCCTGGGCTCCTGCTCTGGGGGACTGAATTGCCGCTGTATATACCACATGATATAGAATAATATACTGCAGTATACTAATATACTATACTATAATCGAGTATATTAAAAAATTGAATTGGAAAAAGGAAATAAAGTACAATAACATATTATCATGGAGTACAATAAAAGCAAACATGCAATATACTGTCATGTAAGTTAGTGTAGTGCAATGCAATGCAATGCGATGTAATGTAATGTAATTTTCTGCACTTGAATATTATTACGAAAAATGTGCATTTTATAACCCTGTTCGACGTAATTCAAGTTCCGTAACAGGAGCCCAGATTCCGACAGATGGCCCGCCCATGTGTGCACATGCTGCGCAAGCTCAAGTCAGCCGTTCATGAGAGCCCAGGAACAGCAGGCTCTTTTTCCATGGCATCCATCAGGACCCCCCCAATCGGGAGCTCAGCAGACCTTGCTTGCAGCCTCCCTTCCTCCCTTCCCTTGCGCTGCGCGCTGAAAAGGAGGGCGAAGCATCCGGGTGAAAGGGCCATGCCCCTGGGAAAGCGGGCACTACTTCGTCATGGATGGACGTGACGAGGAGTGGCCAGAGGCGCCTCGTACCGGAGAGCCAGAACATCTCAGACTAAGCCTAGATACGGGTTTTTTATATTGAAAACATGGTACTTCAGATTGAGAAGATATAGACTCCAAGATGCACAAGAAGGGCCGCCCAGAACATTGATCAGCCCCCCCGTATGTATTACAAGAGCGCTAGTGGGTACCGAAGAGCAGCCTGGGACCTCCAGGGCTCCCTTGTGACCATCAAGATCTGGGTGGAGCAGCATCTGAACCAGCGGAAAGTTTCTTGGGAGATGCATCCTGAGGAGGGTGGACCCAAGGAGCCCCAGAGGGGATGCCTTGCAAGGTCCTCATGTCTAGAGCCTAAAGAACAGAACTCCTAAATCATATGATGTTTGGAAGGTCACCATGTTAGGGGGCAGCAAGATCAGGGGATGGGTGTTGCAAAGGAGATGCCCAGCTTCTCGCACAGCTACCAGCTGGTGGGCTCGTTGACCCAAATGAAGTTGATCCCGATGAAGGCTGTACGCGGACTTCGGCCACTTGGCGCTACTTCTGCACACCTTGGCACAAGAATTTAAGCCACGCTCGGATTCGTTGTCGGGGCTGTGGTGGCACTGAAGGAATGTCTTCGAATACTCTACCCGATTCGGCTTGCAGAGCAGTGAGACGTTTCACTTCGTGCGAGACTACGATCGCACGCAGGCGCGCTCCTGTTGCATGACGCAGCAAGCTTGCGACAGCCGCTTCCATGCCTGGCAGGTGATCTACCCGTCAAGGCCGGACTTAAGCTGAGCTCTGATGACTTGGAGACAAGCTTCCCTAAGCCCTAAACCCCTGGCATCCCAAACCCGAAGTCCAAAAGACCCTGAAACCCTAAACCGAAAGCCCTGGGATGGTCAACTCTCTCAATCATGGTCCCTTCTTTGGCGCCCCTAAATTTCACCCAACCTGCCACCATCCTATAGAGACCGAGCTTTGCTGGTTCTGCGTAGGAAATTAGGGAGCTCGGCACCCTTATCTACCTCCTGTATAGCCCTTTCAGGGATAATTTTAGTCTCAGCATGTCTCTACGGCCCCTTGAGGGATTGATGCGGGACTGCTACATGCCTCTCTCCCTTTCTCTATGTATATATATATATATATGTGTGCGTTTACTTTCTACTTGTCTATATCCTGTTGAGGGGCAAGTTGAGGGGGTATATAGGGACCCCGGTTCCCCAACTTTTCCCTACGAAGAGCCAGTAAGAAGTGCGCGCCGCAAGGCACATGCCAAGAAGTTCCTCCGTGCCCGCGGGAGTCCTACACTCTCTCCGTGGGTTTAGGGGTTAGGGGTTAGGGCAAACCGGAAATTCATCAGGTTTTCTAGGGTTTCTAGGGTTGATGGGGTTTAGGGGTCTTTTAGGGATTAAGAGATGGAACCCTGAACCGGCAATGGCAGAAGTACTGCAGTTCCGAGGTCCGTGGGCCGGATGGTGGCGGAACTGAGAGTTTCTTCGCCATCAGCGGCCGGCAGGGTGACCGTTTGCTGATTCGCCTTGAGGCACAATGTGCTGGCCAATGTGTGTGTGTGTGTGTGTGTGTGTGTGTGTGTGTGTGTGTGTGTGTGTGTGTGTGTGTGTGTGTGTGTGTGTGTGTGTGTGTGTGTGTGGTGGTGGTGCGTGGTGGGTGCGTGGGTGTGGGTGCGTGGGTGGGTGCGTGCGTGCGTGCGTGCGTGCGTGCGTGCGTGCGTGCGTGCGTGCGTGCGTGCGTGGGTGGGTGGGTGGGTGGGTGGGTGGGTGGGTGGGTGGGTGGGTGGGTGGGTGGGTGTGTGTGTGTGTGTGTGTCTCTCTGTGTGTGTGTGTGTGTGTGTGTGTGTGTGTGTTTCGGGTTCAGTTCAAGCTTCCTAACCCGAAGTCCCAGATCCACAGTTAACAACCCCAAAACCTTCAAACCCTAAACCCCAAACCCTAAACCCCAGACCCTAAACCCCAAACATCTCGCTGCCAGGTGTCGGATGCTCACGTGACCGTCAGTGCCAGCCATGCGTCCGGTACGCGTACCTGGCACAGTCAAGAGGCCTCCCTCTGTGAGGACTTTTGGGCGTGCTTAGACTTTGGGTTAGGGTTTAGGGTTTGGGGCTTAGGGTTTGGGGCTTAGGGCTGAGGGCTTAGGGCTAAGGGCCTAGGGCTTCGGGCTTGGGGCTTGGGCTTTAGGGTTTGGGGGCATGTTTAGGGTTTAGGGTTGCTCATGGTTGAAATGCTCCACTGGCAGCTAGTCCCAGCAGCTTCCTCTGCCTGTCTGACAGCTGGCCCACCAAAAGACCTGCGCCCTAAAGCTAGACTCCTAAACCCTAAACCCTAAATCCTAAACCCTCAACCCTCAACCCTCAAAAATCAACCCTCAACCCTCAAAAATCAACCCTCAACTCTCAAAAATCACCCTCAACCCTCAACCCTCAACCCTCAACCCTCAACCCTCAACCCTCAACCCTCAACCCTCAACCCTCAACCCTCAACCCTCAACCCTCAACCCTCAACCCTCAACCCTCAACCCTCAACCCTCAACCCTCAACCCTCAACCCTCACCCCTCAACCCTAAACCCTAAACCCTAACCCTAAAGCCCCAGAAGTTGCTCCCAGGGGCGGGCGCGCAAGCGATTCTTCGTGGCAGGCGCCGCTCCGAGGGACCCATAGCACTCTTTGGGTTCAAAGGGGGTTTTAGGCTTTAAGGGGTTGAGCGATGGATTAGAGTTAATGTCACCCTAAACCCTAAACCCTCAACCCTAAACCCTAAACCCTAAACCCCAAACCCTACACCCTAAGCCCTAAGCCCTATATGGCTTTATTCATGGAAAGTTGACTCGGGGAACCGGGCATGCAGCGACGACTACACTGGCAATATCTAAAGCATGGAGGCGGGTGCATGGGTCGTGTTTCCTATCGGCAAGCAGCCTCGACTTGTATCTAAACCCTAAACCCTAAACCCTAAACCCTAAACCCTAAACCCTAAACCCTAAACCCTAAACCCTAAACCCTAAACCTGCACCCTACACCCTAAACCCTAAACCCTAAGCCCTAAGCCCTAAACCCTAAACCCTAAACCCTGAACCCTGAACCTTAAACCCTAAACCCTGGACCCTGAAACCCCAAGCCTAAATCCCAAAAGGAATACTATTCTCGGAAGCTCCTGTGTCGTGAGGCTCCTCATGGGATCGCTGCATTCCCATGGAACAGGACCCAGACCAGTTGGACAGGCGGGCATTGGCATAGGTTTGAGGGTTTAGGGTTTAGGGTTTAAGGGTTTAAGGGTTTAAGGGTTTAAGAGTTTAGGGTTTAGGGCTTTGGGTTTAGGGTTTAGGTGAGGGACTGACAGGCCCTCTCTTTTTTTGCGTTCACAGCTGCATGAGTGGCTGCGAGAATGAAGACAACGTGGTGGTAGTCGCGGGAAGACATCACACCCTCACTTAAGACTTGCGGCAGTGTGTGTGCTTTGAGGAGCATTCCGTACCTGGACTCTATTAAATCCTAAGCCCTAAGCCCTAAGCCCTAAGCCCTAAGCCCTAAGCCCTAAGCCCTAAGCCCTAAGCCCTAAGCCCTAAGCCCTAAGCCCTAAGCCCTAAGGCCTAAGGCCTAAGCCCTAAGCCCTACTAAGCCCTAAGCCTTAAGAGTAGGCGGTTGCGTGCTGACGCGCATGTGAGGTACGTTGCACAGGTGACAGTAGCGCCTCCGCTGCAACTGTTTCCTTGTGCTTGCACAGAGCCAAAATGGGGGTTGACGATCTTAGGGGTACCTTACTGGTGTCCTTATTATAAGGCGATGCTACTATTTTGGGGTTCATATCAAAACCCTTATTTTCGTAAACGTCTCAAAAGCAGCAACAGCTCGCATGCACAAGAAATGCAACCTTCGATCTTGTGCAGCAGAAGCACATGTTCGACCCGAAGTGCTTCTGTACATACGATCAAGGGCAGTCAGCAAGAGCAGCACAATTCACAGCTGTTATAATCTACAGCAATTATTGTATGTTTCGGCGGTACGACAAAATGATCAGGAATGTAGTAGCAAGTACGAAGAGAAACAACACTCGTAAGGGCAGCAAAGAAAAGTCTCGAACGAATCCTCGCGTGTACTCGAACGCACGAAGCAGTCACGTTACCAGTATAGCGTGCGTGTTAGTGGCTCCAGGTCATTTGCAGGAATGCCGAAGAGGAGCAATAGCAACAGTCAATAACAACATGGTGGCGCAAGTCAAATGAAGTGTTGCAAGCAGCAGCAGCAGCAGCAGCAGCAGCTGTACCAGTGGCAAAGATGACGATCAGGTTTCCCGGACGTGCATGGAAGAGTTCCAGATCCTGCTGGATGAGGCCAGGGAGTCATGGGAGCCCTTCCACAGAGAAAAGCCATCTCGCCCCCGTTGCCAGGATCCAAACAGAGCAATCTTTCCGGAAGCACCTCGATCCCCGAGCGGCGGATCTTTCGTGATGGGCCCGGAGAGTGGGAAATCAGTTCCTCAACCGCATGATTCCCTTTGGGGGTGGGGGGGGGGAAGGACAGTTAATGGTGTTCTGAGTCATGAAAAATTTTTGTGGCCATACCGTGGGGCGCCCTCATAAATCCACCATGTGGTTGAAACACTTGACACCATTTCGCTGAGAAGCCTTTGCATGGTTGGCCATAAAAAAAGTTTAGGATTTAGGGTTTTTAGGGTTTAGGATTTTACGGTTCAGGGAACCCAGTTCAAGCCTTGCGAGCTGCCTCGTCGCGAGATTCTTCCAAGGACAAGTATTTCTTGATCGAAGGCTACCCGGGCCGCGGGCCAAGTTTCCATCAATGGAGGGCAACACGGGGTACGTGCTTTTCAGATGCAGTCATGCCGAAAAATGCAAACTACTGAGTCATATTGGGCCTTCGAGGTACCACCTTTGAGATTTGCCTCGACCTCCAGAGTTTCCTGGCAAATCTGGATGATGCCAAGCCGAAATGCCCCGACCCGATAAAGGAACATAGTTTCGCGAACTGACCACATGAGGCCCCAACAAGTGGCAGATCGTAACTTGGCGAGAGCTCGCCGCCGCTTTGCAGCACTTGCGATGCAACGTACGCCCAGCCCTCTGAGCCCGATGTAGAACGAGGCTGTTTTCACGGCAAGTCAACTAACCTTGAGACTGGACGCGCATCACCCTAGCGTGGACGCCCAACAGCCTAAAACCCACAAATGCCTTGAACCCTTCTCGAGATGTTTAGGGTTTAGGGTTTCGGGTTTAGGGTTTAGGGTTTCGGGTTTCGGGTCAGGGTTTCAGGGTGTCAGGGTGTCAGGGTTTCAGGGTGTTAGGGGTTTGACGCAAGGAGGAGATGCCGAGCGCGCTCGAATGCTAGCAATGCAGCATGAAGCCTGGGCCGAAGCGCGTGAGTTCTGCAAGCAGAACTGAACAAGAAGAAAAGCCCTAAACCCTAAACCCCAAACTCTTAAACCCTAAACCCTAAGCCCTCAACCCTAATTAAACTCTAAAACCTGAACCCTAAACCCTCAACCCCATACCCGCGTTGTTCAGATGGCGCCTTGGGCAGCGTACGCATTGCAGTACACAAAGAGCCCAATACCCTTTAAAAGGAGTTTCGTGTTTAGGGTTTAGGGACATCTTGAAAGGGCCGGTGGCTTAGTTCATCAGCCCGCCACCATACGGCATTCTCGAACATGTCTGTGACCGAAGCTCCAGTCCCTCTGTGCCCGTCAAGCCCTAAATCCCTCACCCCCTAAACCCTGAACCCTGAAGCCTAAACCCTAAACCCGAAGACCTAAACCCTAAACCCCTAAACCATCCTAAACCCCTAAACCCCCTTAACCCCTAAACCCTGAGCCCCTGAACCCCTGAACCCAAAACCTCCTCAACCCCCCAAAGCACCCAAAAACCCTGAAACCTCAACAAGCCCCTAAACCACACAAAGCCCCTAACCCGTCTAAACCCTAAACCCTAAACCCTGAACCCTGAACCCTGAACCCTGAACCCTGAACCCTGAACCCTAAACCCTGAAGCTGTTGAAGCTCTTGGCTTCTGACCGATGCAGCCGCGAGGCTCGGGCATGGAAGTGGCCTCACGGTCTTCACCTAGTTAGTTTTAGGGTTTAGGGTTTAGGGTTTAGGGCTTAGGCTTTAGGGTTTAGGGTTTAGGGTTTAGGGTTTTAGGGTTTAGGGTTTAGGGTTTAGGGTTTAGGGTTCAGGGTTCAGGGTTCAGGGTTCAGGGTTTAGGGGTTTAGGGTTCCGTGCTTTAGGGTGTAGGGTAGTCGGAAGTCATCCAGAAGCGTGGGTAATGTTCGCAACGACCTCCCACACCAATCCGCTCGAACCCTACTCGTGCTGTCAGCTTGCCGCCCTCAACACAAAAAAGCCCTAGGCTCTGCCCGGGTCGGCCTGTGCCATGGCGCTGTCGTCAGGGCCCCTCGGTGGACTGGCAGGTGACCTGAAGCCTTACCAGCACGCCTGCTCCTTGAGAGACGTTGAATCCGAAGTGCTTTTGCTGCAACAGTTTCCATGCATTTCGGGTACCCTTGTCTCGGAGGTTCATGGGGTTCCTACACAAAGCATTGCAGCTGTTGGGGTACATAAAGGGCATCCCGCTATTTCTCGGAACACCCAAAATCCTGTCTCTGGGAGCTGAGTAAGTATTGAGGGAATCCGAGGATGAGATGATCGACTGCGGTCGCCATCCCCGCTTTGACTAGAGTCTAGTAAAGTTTAATCGGCCGTCTTTTGCAACCCTTCACTGTCTCACATGGCCTTCGCGAGTTTTGTTTGAAATTGCCATTAGAGTGCCATTGGCTAGCATGTCAACCCCGCACATGGGTTTGCGGAGCAGGGACTGTGAGTAATCTGCGAGAGGAGCCAGGGCCCTAAGCCCTGCATGCTGAAGCCCTAAGACCTAGGCCCTATAGCCTGTCCGTCTAACCCCAAACATCCCAAAACCCTAAACCCAAGCTTCAAACCGCAGCCCTAAACCCTAAACTTTAAAACCTGCAACCTTAAACCCTAACACCCTCAGCCCTAAAACTCTAAACTCTAAACCCCTGAACCCTTAACCCTAAACCCGAAGCCCTAAACCCTAAACCCTAAACCCCACCCCCGAAAACCCTAAACCCGAAACCCTACCTCCACTAGGTGGACCCGGCTAGCTTCGAGCATTACGTGGAGCTGCTTCGCCAGGGCTCTGCCGGGGCTCTGCGTGTAGCGGCCGCGTCGAGGCCGCGGGGTTTTGTGGGTCTTGCGGACTCTAGGGTTTTGCAGTCTATTTTTTAAAAGGGTAGTCTTAGGATCGTTTGAAGTTCTATTTTTTCTCATGGTTTCTAAGGCTTTTTGTTTTTTTTTGTTATTTCTTTCTTTCCAGGGTTTGTAGGGTTTTGCTTCAAGGTTTGTAAACGGGTTTGTTTGGGGTTCGGGGTTTAGGGTTCAGGGTTTAGGGTTTAGGGTTTCGGGGATCTCGGCTGGCTTCAGCTCTTGGGATGTTCACTTCGGGCAGGTCTTATATAAGATGGAGGATGCAGCCCGAACTCCAAACCCTGAACCCTAAACCCTAACCCCTATCCGCTAAACCCTAAACCCTAAACCCTAAACCCTAAACCCTAAACCCTAAACCCTAAACCCTAAACCCTAAACCCTAAACTCTAAACCCCAAACCCTTATCCCTAAACTCTAAGCCCTAAACCCTGAACCTTGAGCTCCTTGAGCTGCCCCAACAGCCAGCACGGGAGGCTTCTGCAGCGCGAGGCGCACAAGACCTCCACATTGGCCAAGGCCAGCATTTTTAGGGCTCCGGGGGTTTAGGGTTTGGGGTTTGGGGTTTAGGGTTTAGGGTTCAGGGTTTAGGGTTTGGGGTTTAGGGTTGAGGGTTTGCATGCCTGAGGCCGCCTTGGGCGCCGCAACCTCGATTCTGGATCACCCGGATGGCACTCCTGGCATGCTCGCCAAGAGAGAGACGGAGCGCCGCTTGCCCGTTTAGGGTTTAGGGTTTAGGGTTTTGGGTTTAGGGATGGTTCCACGGGTTCCATAGCTCCCGACCAGTGCTGTGCGTGTGGATGTGGGTCGGTCTTCCTAGGTTACGCAATTGCTTGGTGGAACCGGTACTTCAGAGACCTCACGAAGTATGAGCCCAGACGCATCCGAAGCTGGGATGCAAGCATGGCTCTGCCTTAGGGTTTAGGGTTTAGGGTTTAGGGTTGCAAGTTCTTGTGCAGGACCCCGGTTTCCTGAGAAGAATTGGCTGAGGTGCTCGTCGGCGCATAGCCGATGCCATGGCCTCGAAAGATGCAGCAGATGCCAAGCTCACCGAACTCGAGTCCATCAACAAGGACGAGTTCAGGCAGAGATGCACTTCTCAGCAGTTCCTGCTACGCAGAAGCGTTCACTTCAAATCCATGAACCTCTTGGAAACGGAAACAATATATATATATATATATATATGGCACATCTATATGTATGTACATATATATATATATATATATATATTGATAAGCCTTTAGGGAATGCACCTTTCTATAGCCCCAGGCGGCAGCTTACCGAGCAGCGGCAAGACCTGCAGCAGCGAGAGATGGATTTAGCCACCAACACGCAGTCCACGCTTCAGATGAAGAAGGCTGCTGCCGAGGCGGGGAGGCCAATGTGGGGCATGGCAAGTGCTTGTGACTGAGGGTTTAGAGTTCTTGTGACTGAGGGTTTAGGGTTTAGGGTTTGGGGTTTAGGGGTTTGGGGTTTAGGGGGATCCGGAGATTCGAGTGCTTGCCCGCAGCTAAGGCAATAAATGACAAGAAGAGTGCTGCAAAATATCGAGACATGCTCGATGACTACTGGCACAAGCGGGAGCTCGAGCAGGTCAGCGTCATGGAAGCCTTGCTGCCCTCGTCGCTCTAAAGCCCTAAGCCCTAAACCCTAAACCCGAAACCCTAAACCCTAAACTCTAAACCCTAAACCCTGAACTCAACCCCAAACCCTAAGACCCTAAACCCCCTCCTCAAGCCACCCTAACGCGCCGAATGGACTAAGGAAGCGAAACGGAACTTGATGAAGCAGGAGCGTTTCCTGATGCGCCTACCGTTTGTCCCGCTCTCAGCCCGGATGAAGAAGCCATGATGCCCACCCCCCTCCCCTCTGCACAAAGACCTGAAGCCCCAAGCGACTAAAACGCTGTGGAACCCTACAAGGAAATGAAAACTGCAGAGCGCATGGCCAAATTCGCCGGCAGACGCCTGGAGAACGCAGATCCTTGGGCAGCGCAAGGTTGTCACTTTTCCAGGGTTTGGGGCGATTACTTGCCGCACGCACTAGTCCTCCATTTCGCTGGGGCATCTGCCCTGAACCCCCCAACCCTGAACTCTTAGCTCTAAATTTCATTGAGAAAAGCCAGAGGTAAAGGCCCACGCTGTGCTCAATGCCTGCAAAGGGGGTTTAGGGTTAGATATTCGTCCCAACAGGCAAGCGTTCGAAAGTGCTGACACTTCTTGGTGGGTATTTCCAGGATCCTTCTTTCAGGCCCTAGGGTACCGGGCTATATCATGAAAGGTACCCCAAACTCGTTTACAAGGGACCGGAACATAGAGAACTGGGCATGCTGATGTAGATGCCAACCAGAAGGTGTCATGCACATGCTACTTTCAGGTCCTGAACCCCCGGACTAAACAACCATCGACTCCATGAACATTCCTTCGTCCCCATTGCCTTTTCCAAGAAACAAGCGTGCCTCAGTTGGGAAACTTATTGTCGATGCTGGGATAGCAGCTTCCACTGTGACCTAGGCATAAACCATACATCCGAAACTCTTTATCCGTACCCCCTACCCTGCACTATGTCACGCACTATAAACCCTGTGAAGAGTTCCCAACACCATGAACGCGATACCCTTAGACCCCTTGCCTTAACCCCAATTGGCTCCTGAGGAGAAATCGCTGGGCTACATCAAAGGCCATCTAGAGTCTTGCGATGCAGACGAGCTCAGGATTACGGGTTTTGCCCTTTCTGTCGAAATCCGAGGCTTCCCCCCTGTTAACACGCGCGCGCAAGCAATCACAAGCGCTCGCAAAAGCTGGGCGATTTTTCGGGGCACTCCTCGTCTCTTTGCACAGGAGTTTCCGAGCTTCAGAAGTCTAATCAGGGACAACTATCTCGATTGCGCGTGGTCGGAGGCATGACGCTTTTTTACCAAAGCTTTCGAGTAGTCCTTGTGAGGCTTCAGAGTGTTGCGTTGCTGAGGAGGAACTGACAACTGCGGCTCCGTTGAAGCCGACCAACCCCTACGAGAGGATGCCTTATGCTCTTTATCTGCGTCAAGTGCTGGAATCAATCGGAACCGAAGCAAGCCCCCGCCCCCCCCCCCGGGCCATGTACCCAGGTAAGCTGCTACAGACTGGGGAAAACCCCCGCTGAAGCTGGCATTTCCGAGTGGCTCCTACTGTCCTTCCCTCAGAACTTGCGGGTTCATGGACAGGACTCATTTGGGGAATGCGGTTTACTGCAGGTGTCAATGGCGTCTGCCACGTGCCCCGCAGCAACGCCGTGGCGACTTCCTGTGCTCTGCTGACTGCCACCTTGTGACAGGGGGCGATGAGGGCCGAGATGTGAGCTGAAGCTACTGGTCAAAAAGGCGCTTGCAAGGCAAGCTTACGTTGTCTACACGCCCGGTCAGAGGAAGGCTTCTTGTCCATAACAATCGAGCATGCGTAGCCGTCACGCTGAGAAGAAGGCGAAGATGGAACGGTGGCAGCAGAGGGGTTCATGCTACATGTTCCGTACGAGTGCAACTCATGCAATGGCAACTGAGCACAGCTCGGTTTTCGGAGTACAAGCACCTACCCGGCCCTCGGGAAACGGCAAGAAACCAGAACTGTTAGCTTCACGCCTTTTGCGCCTTAAATGGTCGCCTGCAGCCTCCTGGCCCGTACCCTCTTCGTGACAGGCGCCTTTAGCTTGCTGCTCTCCGTGATGGAAAATTTGTTGGGCTGCACCAATGACCGAAGAGATACCTTTGAGTGGCTCCTTGTGAACAGTCCACTTCCCTCTCTCCTCTCTCCCCCCCTCTTCAAGAAAAAGGCCCTAAGCAAGGGCGACCCCCACATTATCCCGAAGCGCCTTTGCCAGTTGCAGCACCGCTGGCCCTTCTCGGCTCACTTCTCTTCCAGGCCAAGGAATGTTGCGGGTTTGGTGGTACTCCCTGAATTCTTAACCCCCCCACCCCCCAAATCCCATACTTCCGGCATGAATCCCTCATCCATCTCCGTAAACCCATTTAAATCCTGAATCACCCTAAACGCTAAAGCCTAAACCCTAGACCCTAAGCCCTAAGCCCTATCTCCTCAGGTGTCCGTCGATCTCGAGATCCAGAGCTTGCGCCCTAGGAGAGGTTGCGGATTTCGGTAGTACCTGCACCAGTACCTGCACTCTAAACCCTAAACCTTGCACCCTAAAGCCTAAACCCTAAACGACAAAACCCTAAACTCTGAACCCTAAACCGGGTTCGGGGCCTGAGGATGGGATGATAAGCCCTAGGCCCTAAACTCATCTAGGCTCGCAGCTTTGAGTGTTGCGGAAGGCTGATGGCCTTTTCAAAGAAATTGGGAGTTTCAAATTTCGACACGGAGGCGCTTAGTGTAGGGTCTAGGATTTAGGGTTCAGGGTTTGGGGTTTGGGGTTTCGCGTGGACTGTTGAGGCTTGGCCAACTTGAAGTATGCCGTGGACCAAGAAGCCGTGGCTGCGGCAACCGAGGCGGAGGCCGGCCTCGGTGCCCCCTTGCTTTGACAAGTCAGATTCGTGCCTTAGGTGGGGCATTCGACCCTAAGCCCTAAACCCTAAACCCGAAACCCTAAACCCTAAACCCTAAACCCCCAGTACCCTCAACCTTTAAACGCATCCTAAACGCGCACGAGCCCATGCTGGACACGCGGAGCTGCATGGCAACAAGCGCACGGCCAGGCCGCACGCGACGTCGGCCAGGCGGCGCTGGATCAGACTGAGGCGGTGTCGAGAAGAGTTTAGGGTTTTGGGTTTAGGGTTTCGGGTTTAGGGTTTCGGGCTGAGGGTTCAGGGTTGAGGGTTGAGAGTTGATGGCCTAGGGTGGAAGAGTTTTAGTAGAGAGTCTTAAACGTTTGCTGCGCAGAGGCGTATAGAACCAACCAAAGACCCCCAAAACTTAAAACCCCGAACAGCTTAAAGACCTAAGATACCTGTGGAAGCCCGAAAAGGCTCCTCTCTGCTTCTTCAGCCTTCCGTCAGGGCGAGCTGCTCCAGGCGAAGGCTGAGACCTTGGACGCCAGCGTCGCAGAAGCCCAGGCCAGTCCCGAAATCCCAGTGTTTGGGTTTTCGGGCCTGGGGTTTATTGAAATCATTGAGATTATTAGGGGCTCAGGTCCGGGGAAATTTGGAGGAGTTTCGCGGGGTTTCAAGGAAAGTTTCTTTTTTGACCTTAATTTAACTCATGCTCACTCGGTCCGGGGAAGCTTCGAGCCATTTCTGCTTTACCTGATGAAAAATCTAATTGCCCCTAGTCAGGCCTACTGTTATCACGATGTGTCATGCTTTGTAAAGCCCCGGCTTCTAGACTCTGGTCTGACCGTGGGCTTCCCGATTTGGGGCTCCCTCGATATGTGCGGCAAGACGATGCATGGATTTCATCTCAAGCACCTGCCCTGGCAGAGGACCATCAGAAGTGGGCAATCAAAGACTTTCAAGTCAATAGAGAAGACAGAAGCGCAACACCTCGAGGGTTGAGGGATGTTGAGGGACAAGCCGGTAGCTGCAGTCATGATGTGTTGCACAAGAGCGAGGGTCCGGCACAGGGGATAGAGTACACACCCTTCCCTACACCCTAAACACTAAGGGTTTAGGGTTTAGGGTTTAGGGTACAGCCCTACACCAAGCCCAGAAGCTCGTGACGGAATGCCTTGCATCCTTGGACCACCCGAAACCATTGATTCGTTCAGCCCTCCACCAAAGAAGGACAAGCGAGGGGAACGAGGGCTTTGAGGGCTTATGACGTAGGGTTTACCCTGAACCGGTGCCCCTAAAACCTCAAGCCCTGAAGCCCTCAAGCCCTAAACCCTAAGACCCTACAGCATAAAGCTCACGCCAGGCCACAGAGTTCGGTAGCCTGGGAGCTGCTGCCGGGACAGGGGAAGCGGCCGAGGACCTTCCGGGTTCTTAGTCCTACACCCTAAACCCAAAACCCTCAACCCTCAACCCTAAAGCCTAAAGCCTCAACCCTCAACCCTAGACCCTAGACCCTCAACCCTCAACCCTAAAGCCTCAACCCCTCAACCCTCAACCCTAATCCCAACCCTTTAAGGATGAGGCCTTTGGGAGGCCAGGGTCTTTTGGGGCGGCTTTCTTTCGAGAGTTCTCCATCCCCCCCTTCGCCCCGTTTAGGCTTTAGGGTTTAGGGTTTTGGGTTTAGGGTTTAGGGTTTACCTAGGCCCTCAAGCCGGGCCGGGGCAAGCCCTGAGTTTCAGAGATTCCGTACCTCAGTGGAAGTGCCCAGGCACGCCGGTTGGAAGCTTTAGGCGTGGGAAAAAAGCGCTCGAAGCCCACACCCCCAACCCCGCTCTCCCCTAAACCCTAAACCCTAAACCCTGAACCCTGACCCTAAACCCTAAAACCTAAACCCTAAACCCTAAACCCCAAACCCTAAACCCCAAATCCTAAAGCCCTAAGCCCGATTGGCAGGAGGGCGGAAGTGCCATTGCTGAGCAGGTGGAGGAAGTGGCCTCGAGCGTTGTGAAAGGCCTCGGCCCGGGACTTGGCGCACTGATCTGAGGTTTAGGGTTAGGGTTCAGGGTTCAGGGTTTAGGGTTTAGGGTTTAAGGTTTAGGGGTAGGGTTTAGGGTAGTTCCATGCGCCCTTCATATTCATATGGTCCCTTACCTCCACCAAAAAGGGTTCTGATGTATGGGCCCTTGTTTAGAAGGGGTACCTTTTGAAGATGCTAAGGGAGCATGTAACTACCCTTAGAACTGAGCTGCCCTGCAAGTCCTGAACAGCTGTGAGCCTGAGCACTTAAAGCCTAAAGCCGAAACTCCCCAAAACCCGAAAACCTAATGCCCTGAAACCCTAAAACCCTAAACCCTAAACCCTAAAACCCTAAACCATAAAACCCTAAAACCCTCAAACCCTAAACCCTAAACCCTAAAAGCCTAAAAGCCTAAAGCTTTTGGGTCCCAAAGGCGAGTTGCCAGCCACTGGCATGGCCTCAGCGGGAGCTTCAGAGGCCGTGGCAGATGCTGCGCACTGAGATGGGCACTGAGAGCTTTTGGAGGGATTTAGGGATTTAGGGTTTAGGGTTACGGGTTACGGGTTTAGGGTTTAGGGCTTAGGGTTTAGGGTTTAGGGTTTAGGGTTTAGGGCTTATAACGAGCGGCTAGTACATAGCAACAAAGTTAACCAATAGTGGTGAATAACTGTAGCACGTAATACTGGATAGCCGTACGGAATAGCAAATCATGAGAATATTACTCGAAGTCGTGAGTTGATAAGATTATACTGATAGCAATCACCAGAATCAACAATCAAAGTTTACACATTATCATCATGAACAGTGTAAGAGTAGTTATCATCACAATGGTGATAGTGAGCTGCAGGCAGCGGCAGAGGCTGTGGCTGGAGCAGCAGTGTCTTCGGTTGGAGTGGTTTGTGTCCCAGCTTCTTGTCTTGCTGCCGTGACCTTGGTGCGTCTGGCAGCATTGCATCGAATTGATTGGTTCCAGTGTCTTGAAGATGCCGTCAAGATAGCCCCTACTTGCTCTGACCTACCTCTCTCTCTCTGTCTCGTTTTCTCCGTTTTCTTCCGATGTGAGCCTCTTCCTAAAGCCTCAACCCACATCCCTAGAAACGCTGAACCCTAAGCTAACCCTAAACCCTAAACCCTAAACCCTAAACCTTAAACCCTAAACCCTAAACCCTAAACCCTAAACCCTAAACCCTAAACCCTAAACCCCAAACCCTAAACCCTAAACCCTAAACCCTACACTTAAACCCTAAACCCCAAACCCTGAACCCTAAACCCTAAACCCCTAAACCCTCAGAGCCCTACTCCCCGGCTCCGAACCCCCCCAGGATGCCGCGCTGGCCGGCGCGGCGGGGGCGGTCGCGGAGCAGGGCCCAAAGGTGGCCGCGGCCGCGCAGGATTCCCGCCCACTTGGGGGATTTTTGGGGTGTAGGGTTTAGGGTTTAGGGTTTGGGGTTTAGGGTTTAGGGTAACTTGGGTTGGGACTCTGTATGTATAACTCTAGGCAGGGTACCTTTGACCCTACATGAACCTACCCATGAAGCTTCAGGTAGCTCTCTGTGTGGGTTTTTGGCTCGTGCTAAAGCAAGAAGGGGTTTTGGGTTCTTCTGCGTTTTGTCGGGTTTTTCTCTTTCTGTTTTCAGGGATCTTGGATTTCCCCCTCGTCCCAAATTGTTTCTGCAGGTCGCAATTTGGGTTGCAGGCGGGGTTTGAGTGGGTTTGCAACTAGGTGTCTCGCGGACCGAAACGCGCCTGACGCGTCTGTCAGGAAGAGTGGGCACTGGGCTCTGAGGAGATCCAGGCTGCAAACGATGAGCGCAGCAGCCTCAGCTGCTCCTCAGGCTGTCTCTGAGAATTGGAAGACAAAACTGCACAAAGAAGGCCTTGCTGTCGAGAAGGAGGTGCAGGCAGTCGCTCTTGAGGCCAAGTTGAGAAGCCTGTAGCTGCTGCGATGTAGCCTGTTGAGTGTTGTGCGGCAAGTTGTGCGGCAGCAGGGCGACGTCCCAATTCTGGAAGCTGGTTCCTACAGCTCCCATGATGCAGCGGTGGCGAGCGTCATGACGGCCGTCGGGCGACACAGCATGCCCACCACAGTTTGGTACCCGTTTTCAGCATGAAGTGGTAAGTAGATGAGTAGATTCAGCTGCAAACAAGGGTGGATACTTGCTGGCCGCATCGGGAACGCAGCTGGTGGTGTTGGCAGTGCAGGCAAGCACCCCAAGCCCTAAGACCGTGGGCCTGCCTACCTCTGCCTATGTCTGCGGGTTGCACACAGACGCCCCAGGCTCCCTTGGCCCTGGTGGTGCTCACGCAGTGGCTTCTGGGGGCTGGTGTCAGGTTCTCACATCTCTTTCAAGCCAGTGTGATTTTGCAGTTAAGTTTGGGTTCCCCCCCGATGCTTATAGGTATGGTCATTAAGTAACACCCTAAAAAGGGGCTCCGCACAAAGAGGACCACAAAACGGGACCCTATTTTGAGCAACCTGTATTTCTGTGCCTGTCATGCCTGGGACATGAGGCGAGCACCATGGACAAGGTTGCAAAGGTCAGATCGCAGGATCGTTTGCCCGACTGGGATCCGCATGCGGGGATATCCCTAAACCCTACACCCTAACCTAAATCCTAAACCCTGAACCCAGGGCCCTTTCTCCACGTGCAGGACTACGATTCGTTGTGGCTCACGGGGCTGGTAGCCCAAGCGGCACTGGCTGCAGCCTCGGAACGCATGAGGGTTTAGGGTGTAGGGTTTAGGGTTCAGCGTTTGGGGTTTAGGGTTTAGGCTAGCTGGCAGAATTGGCGATGATTTGGTCTTGGGTTCCCACCGCCCTACAAGTAACTACCCACGAACCCTTCAAGTGGCTGCAGTATGGCGCCGTGGCGACCATGATGCTGAACCCGTGGGCGGACATCGTCGTCCTGGCATCCAGGCAAGAAGGGGACCTTGAGCCCGAAAGTCCTTAAGACCCGGAACCACAACCCCCCCCCCCCCCCAAAAAAAAAAAAAAAAAGGAAACAGCAATAAGAGACGGCGACGGCCCGAACCCCTTCAGAGCTTTAGAGCAGGTTCGAGGAGGCCGGCGAAGCTGCGGCGCAGCAGCTGCCGGGAGCTTTGAGCTGACGCCGCGAGCTTGCGCGATCGGAGTTGGTGACGCGAGGTCCTCGCTGCCGGCCCTTGCCACAAAGGACCGGGCACGTGCGACTTTTGTGATGCATGATCGATCTTGTGCTTTCGGATGGGTGAAGGCCTTCTCCATTCTTGGACAAGATCCGCTGAACCACACGAGATCGTTCAGGGCTTAGAGGGTGGATGTGACATCCGTCACTGCAGTCTTTGCCTAGCTGCCTGGCTCGTGCTGCCGCTGTTGGGAGGTCAGCTCAGCAGCCTGCAGCGTGGAACTTAAGCTCCGGAGGGAAGCTGCCAAAATTCCACCCATGAAAAGTGGGGAAGCAGCTGCATTGGTCCCGGCTCAGGATCCACCTAAGCCGTCAAGACGCTTGGGCTGGGATGTGGGGGTGGGATGCCCAGCACGAGTGCCGAACCCTAAGCCCTAAACCCCAAACCCTAAATCCTAAACAGTGCAAGATTTTGATGCATGCGCAAATTCAGGGCTGGGTATCTGGCGTCGCCCCGAGCTCAGAAGGGTCCGGGGATGCGTCCGTGCGACCAAACTGGGGGCTGATCTCATCGCAATGGGCCCTCTTTGGCACCCTAAAGTATAAGGAATCATGATGCAGTTGGTACCCTAAGCTCGAAGGAATATGCTACGTTTGGGGCCCTAAGCTACAAGGAATATGCGAGACATCCGACATGGATCAGAACAGCTTCCTCCTTCCGGCGCCATTTGAGCTTGTCCTTGGAAGTGCGGTACAAGTATCTTCTGCGCATCCAGAAGCCACAAAGCATCCTGTCATACCCCAAAGCCCTACCCAAGCCCCAAGCCCTAAGCCCTAAGCCCCAAGCCCGAAACCTGAGCCCTAAGCCTAAACGCCCCAAGCCTAAAAGCCCTAAGCCCCTAAGCTTGAAACCCCCCCTCGCGATCGACTCAATGGGTGCAAAGCCGAAGCTGGCTTCGATGGCCTGGGCGAAACCCCCTGTACCAGCGAGAGCTTCGAGCAGTGCGTGAGCCATGGGCGCCTGAGCTTGACATTGTACACCCCAAGCCCGAAGCACGCCCTAAACCCTAAGCCCGAAACCCTAAACCCTAAACCCTAAACCCCAAACCCTAGACCCCTAAACCCTAAGCCCACAAGGGAGGTTAGGGGTTAGAGGGTTTAGGATCACCACAGTATCGCAGTGACTGCTGGCCTCTGCTTTCAAGGACTCAAGAGGCAGCCACACTACGATGACTTCCGAAAGCTCGCCACGGAGGTGCAAGGGCCGCCCTTAGGGTTTAGGGTTTCGGGTTTAGGGTTTAGGGTTTAGGGTTTAGGGTTCAAGGGGAACAGCTCGTGCTGGTAGGCTCGTGCTTTAAGGAAGGCTCATCGTGCGGTAGCTGCTGAAACCCTGGTCCCTAAGCCCCAATGGCAACATTGCGGTGGTGGGGTGAGGTCTTGGACCTGTCGCTCTTCACGCCTGAGACTGGGTTGCGTTTAAGTAACCTATAGATTAAGTTTCCATGAAATGGATCTTTTGTAGGTAGCTAACCCCTAAACCCCTAAACCGATAAAAAAACCCCTAAGCCCCAAGCCCCTAAGCCCCTAAGCCCCTAAGACCCTAAGCCCCTAAGCCCCTAAGCCCCTAAGCCCCTAAGCCCCTAAACCCTAAACCCTAAACCCTGAACTCAAAACCCTTAAGCCCCCTTATACCCTAGCCCAGGAAAGGGGCCGGAAGTTCGAGGCCGATCAGGACTGCGGGGGAGAAAGGCTCCCTACAGAATGATCCCGAACAGGGCTTAGGGTTTCGGGTTTAGGGTTGGGGGTTGGGGTTTAGGGTGTAGGGTTTAGGGTGCAGGTTTTAGGCTGAAACCCTAAGAGGATTTAGGGCTTTGGGGTTCAGGATTTCTCGGCTCCACCCCCTCAAACTGTGGGAGTCTCTGACGAGGGTGCCGACACGAATCTTGTCAGGGTCATGATTCTTAGGTGGTTATCGTTTCCGCAAATTGCTGTTGCTCTCGGAATCCTATGCAAGGAGTCACACATCACCTACTGCCTCCTTCTCAGCGTGCTCAGCTCCAAGAGAGATCTTGGCCTGGGTGTCTATTGGGACGAAGGTCCGGAGGACCACATCTCCTTGATCGCCCTGGCAGTAGAGGACCCCCGACCTGGGCTCTCTTCTCAGGGGGTTGATGTTGGTAAATCCTCAAACCCCCAACTTGCCCCCCCCAAAACACCCCCCCCTCCCCCCCTCCCTCACCCCCCGAAACCCCCCGAAACCCTTCTGACACCCCAAGACACTGCGCCTCGAGTGCCATTGCTCGTGGCGCAGGATGCAGCGGTGCTGCTGCGCACACATGACTCCGGAGGCTGGTTGCCAAGCCAGGCGCATCTGCAAGCAAACCCTCAGCCCCTGAGCCCCTGAGCCCCTGTGTCCTTGAGCCCTTGAGCGCACAAGCCCTAGACCCCAAAACCTCGAAACGCCCCCAAGACCCCCCCTAAACCCCCCCCAAAGCCCGAAACCCTAAGCCGCCAAAACCCCCCTAAAACCCCCAAGCCTCCTGAGGTGAAGGAGGTGCTTTCGAACCCTGGAGTGATGAAGATCCACGCAGGACAGGCTCAAGAAGCTTTGGGCTTGGGAGTTTAGGGGTTTAGGGTTTAGGGTTTAGGGTTTAGGGCTTAGGGTTTAGGGTTTAGTGAATCGGGGGGAGGGGGGGGGTAGGGGGGTCTTGGCACGGGTTCTTGAATCGGGGGGGGGGGGGGGGGGGGGGGCGTTTAAAGGATTTTGGGCTTGAGTCGGGGATGTGAAGGGTTTAGGGGTTTCGTGGTTTAAGGGGTTTCAGGGGGTTGTTATGATCTTCAGGGTCTTGCGACCCCAGGAGATGGAGCCGAGCTGCGAGCGAAGCTGCAGGCATCCTTCGGCGTGGACCTGCGCGGTGAGCTGGATGTGAGGACCTCGGGGGACAGTCGAGGTGTGAGGCACAATCCAAGATGCTGAGGAAATCCTTGCCCAACCCCCAAAGCCCGAAGCTCAATTTTAAATGCTGCCCTTCGCCCGGCTCGGCACGGCTGGGGGGGAGGCGGACGTTTTCTCCTTCGGCCAGCGCCTGAAAAATCTCCCCTCAACCCGAAAACTTACCAGAAGAGGGGGGGGGAGGGGTGAGGAGTCCCGTAAGTCTCATAGGTAACGCCTGACACGACACGGCCGGGGGCCGAGGCGATTTCTGAGCAATATGCATACCAATACTGTGGGCCAGTACTGTATGTGGATGTGGTACACTTATTCTTTGGCCCTATATTTTGTGCGGCACCCTTAACAGACAGACCCCAACAGGGACGCTTAGAGAGCTGCCCATATGCTTCCCTTTGCCAGGACAGAGGCGAAGGCGCCTCAGGAGCTGCCGGATGTTCGGCTCCAGGGGGGCTCGCGCCTGAATGCTTCGCCTCGTTGCTTACGGGCTTCACCGCAAACCCCCTGAGACCTGAGCTTCAAGAGCCCCCTAACCCTAAACCCGAAACCCTAAGCCCCCCCAGACCCTTAAACCCAGACATCCTCGGGCCCCGGAGCCCCCAAAACGCGGCACCAGGACGTCGAGGCCATGCTCCGCAACTTGCCCGTGGGCGAGTGCTGCTGGCTGCCTGGCGACAAGAGTCTAGACCTTAGGGGTTTAGGGTTTAGGGTTTAGGGTTTAGGCTTCAGGGTACCCTAAAACCCTAAATCCTGTAGAGTTGCTGCATGTTTTCTCTCATGCTGCTCCCGAACACGTCTTTGAAACGTCGGCCTCAAGCCACGCAACATCAACCCGTTGCACTCTCTGCATTCTCCGTCTTCTAGGTTTATCCGGAGTAGACATCAAGCCCTCAGCCCAATCCCTAACTTCCCTAAACCCCAAACCCAACATTCCCTAAACCCCAGAACACTAACCCCAAAACCCTACATTCCCCAAACCCCAAAACCTAAACCCTACACCCTAAACTCTAAACCCTAAACCCCAAACCCTAAACCCTTATCACCCGCATCCAGGTCCTCTGCAGACCTCCCCGAGGAGACGGCCGCCGTGGCCGCAAAGCGCGCCCTCCTGTGCTGGAAGCATGCTGCAGAACTGCGTGCGAAGGCGCAGCGTGGGGCTTAGGGGTTTAGGGGTTTAGGCTACAGGGTTTAGGCTTTAGGGGTTTAGGGGTTTAGGGGTGTAGCGGTTTAGGGTTTAACTAGGGTGTTGGGGAGTTTGGGGGTTAGGGGCTTTACGGGTTTAGGGTTTCAAAGGGCTGTTCTAGCAAACGCTCATCAAGGGATGGCTTGCTGTACAGGTATGTTGTGTCGAATGTTGGCAAACCCCAACACCTTGCAATCTTGAACGCTGATGCAATTCTGTTTGCTTTGCAGCCCATCATGAGACATTCCTCCTGGTGCAGCATCAAAGTCCAGCCCATGAGTGTCCAGCCCATGCCTGAAGCATCAAGAACGTCCTATGACCGAACCCATGAATCCCGACTCTGTCCCTGTAGCCACTGCTTGTCCTTGTCGCAACTACTTGCATTAAGTTGTTGAGGGGGTGTAACCGGGGTGTAAACTCCAAGCAGTCTAAAGCAGCCTCACTGACTCCAGGCACGGGAGATGCAGCCCGCAGCGCCGGAACGCGTGTGGGCGGAGCATTGCAGCCCGGTTTGGAATTCTTTAGGGATCTTTAGGGTTTAGGGCTTAGCGCTTGGGGGTTCAGGGTTTCGGGTTCAGGGTTTAGGGTTCAGGGTATGATTTTGGAGATGCCTGCCTTAGGGGCCTCGGCTTTGGGGTGCAGGGCCGAGGACTCTCAGCAGGATCCTTTCGGTAAAGTTGCACCACTAGGGCAGCAGACTGATGTCCACCCCATCCGAAGGCGTAGTACGACGCCCCGATGGCCTCTACTGCTGGGCTTGCCAGGCACACGCAAGTTCCTAAACCGTACCCTAAAACCCCTAGGACCTGACCTCTCATAGAGGGTTTGGGCACCAGGGTGGCGACTGAGTTTCGGTTCGTGCCCACTAGAGTTTAGAAGGGCTTGACGGTTTTTAGTTGCTTTGGGTTTACACGAGAACCCTCACTGGCACTTGAGCCATAAACCCTAAACCCAATTGGAGAATATTCAGATGCCTCTGGGCTGATCAGGAAAATTGTACATTTGGGAGCAGGAATCTTGTCTAAACCTGGCAATTCCGAGATCGCTTGAAATGGGAGGCGGGGTCTCATCACAGTTTCGAGATCTGCTCAGCAAAGCCTGCTCTCCAGTCATGGAGAGGCAAAGAAGTCCCCTCCGCATTCTCCGCTTCAATTCCCACGCTTTTCAGGCAGGCCCTGCGGCAACCGACGCCGACATGGAGAAGCACATCGCTGGAGCAGCCTGGATGTACTTGAGCAGATCTGCATTAAAGGTTTAAGATTCTCAAGCTACTTGTGTGCCCAAAGATGCCAGTCATGGTTCATTGTGTTGAGGCCCTAGGTTCACTGTCAACATACCCGTGCGCATGATGAGCATTGGCACATGTGCAGCTGACCAGCTGATTTGCTGACGTGAGGCTCAGCACAAGCGCCGCTTGGTGCTGGCTGGCGTTCTTCAGGAAGGGGCTCTTCTGAGCGTTGGGAAGCCGGCTACTGTCAAGATGCCGATGCGCAATGACCACGACATTTTCTACCTGGGTCACTGTAAACCCCCAAATACGATCATCTTCCTTGTTATCGGAGCCCCCCACCCCCCCCGCCCCCCCGCAAAAACGGTAACCCCATGTGCGGAATTGGCTGACGCCGCAAGGACGACCAGATCTTGCCTCCTGTACCGGCTTCGCTTGCAGCCCGTGGCATTGCCATTGACAGGGGAAAGGATGGCGCGCTGCAGTATTTCTGCCAGAAGCGCCTTGGAAGCTACAGACTTCGGGACCACTGGGCTACATCAAATGCTGTCGTTTCGTGGCAGAAAACCTGCAACACCACTTGTCGGAGCCTTTGGCGCATGTGGGCTTCTGCTTCCTGTTTCGTACAAGCTGTGGCTTTGTACAAGCAAGCCGATCACTGTCAGCTCTCGAAGAGTTCCCGAGTTTTCCGAAAGAGAGGAGCGCTGCATCTTTCTCTTCTGGCTGTTTACTCCCGAAACAGTGCGGGAAGCTGCACTCTTTTTCTAGAAGTCTGACCTTGTTCTGCTGAAAGATTATGGGAAGCTTCGTCGAGATCAGTTTAGCGTGGACCCGGAAACTATATAGGCAGTTTGACAGGCAAGGGCATTTGGGGTTAGGCACGCGACAGAGCGTGTGTGTGTGTGTGTGTGTGTGTGTGTGTGTGTGTGTGTGTGTGTGTGTGTGTGTGTGTGTGTGTGTGTGTGTGTGTGTGTGTGTGTGTGTGTGGCTTCGCCAAGGTGCAACGCGGGGCCATTTCCAACACTTGATAGCGGCTTGGCTCAGACACTCCCCATGGCCTTTACGAACATCGGGGACCCCTAGACCCCCCAAATTGTAGGATCTCCTTATAATGGGGACCCCAATAAGCTACCCCGAATTTCAGAAACCCCCAAATGTGAATCGCGACTTCATGGCTGAGGTGTTGACTCGCACCTCCAGGGCGCGAAGCACCTCCACAAGGAGCGCCGCAACGCCTATGGAAAATCCCTGGTTCTTAGTAGGGAATGAGGGAATGAGGGATCCAAAAACACCCTTTAAGGGATTGTATAGGGTACCTTATTCCATCATGCTGCCCTACTGACCTGATGCACGATTCTTCTATTTTGCCCCCAGCCGGCCCATCACAAGAAACCTGGTCGTTCCTCTGCTGGTGCGGCTTCACGTCTATCCCCCTCAATGTGGGAGGGTTTTGTGTAGAAGCTCTTACTGGCAGGTTTCTTGTTATTTAGCGATCTCCTCACATCAAGTTGCTGTCGCAGAAAGTCAGCATTGGCATGATGGCAGAAGCAGAGCCCCAGGCCCTGAACTTCTGTATAGCCTTGAGAAAGATGCAGCCTAGCGCTTGCACCATGGGCCTAAACCCCAAGTGCCAGACCCACTACCCTAAACCCTGATGCAAGAAGCGGCAAGGGACAAACTGCAACGCTAAACCCTAAGCCCTAACTCCTTAAACCCCAAACTTCCCAACTTCAAGGCCCTTGTTCCAAAGCTGCCTTGAAGAGCACTCCGTCCTCCGACTGGCAGAGTAAAACCCAATGACTCCAATACCTGTGAACATCAGGAGCCTTCCTTGAGTCAGACGAAGATCCCTGGAACAAGCATGTGTTGCAAACAGCTCCTTAAGCAACATCCCAGTCAAGGAAACGTCCTTACATCCTATTCTGTTATGACCCTTCAAGGATTCCTAAACCCTCAACCCTCAACCCTCCACGCTACACCCTACACCCGAAACCATGGAAGGAGGGGCTGGAGCCGACGGTCCAGCTTACGGCAGACCTGGCCAAGGCCTGTAGGCGGTTTTGGAACCTTAAACCCTGAACCCCTAGACCCCCTAGACCCCTAGACCCCTAAACCCCTAAACCCCTAAACCTAGGGTGAGAGGTTTGAAGGTTTTGAGGAGGATTTTCGGGCGAGTTTTTTGGGGTTTTTCGGGGGGGGGGGGGGAGGGGTGTTGGGTCGAAGTTGGGCTTTTGGGTTTCGAGGGGTTTTGGGGGCTTGAGGGGGCTTCAGAGGTTTGTGGAGGCTTTACGGTGTTGTTAAGCCTTTATGAGGTTTTGGGATTTCAGGGCCATACCTTGCAGCCGTCGCCTGGCTCCAGGAAGGCTTTGTCCTCTCCCCCGCCGGTGATCTGGAGTTCCTTGGCCGGCTTGCCTAAACCCTGAACCCTGAACCCTGAACCCTGAACCCTAAACCCTAAACCCTAAAACCCTATTGGGCCTAAGCCGAGAAGAGCGAGTCACCAAGGTGCCTCCGTTGCCATGCTGGCCCGTTTCACGACCGGCAGAGCCTCCGGCCGGGCCCTCGAGCTCTAAGAAGCCCTAAGCCTTAAAGCCCTAATTGTTTAGGGTTTAGGGTTTAGGGTTTCGGGTTTGGGGTTTGGAACTTTGGCAGTAGCAGGTTGTTTCTCCTCTGAGATGTCTCGAAGTTGTCCATGCAGGCTCCACCGCCAGTCCTTGCAGCATAGAGATGTTGGGGAGACGAGCAGCAGACCGCCGAGGAGAGGGTTCTGTCGCCTTTGTAAACACAAAGTTGTCCTCCACAACTAGGGGCTAGGGGGTCTCCGAGGATGGAGGCAGAATTGCGAGATCTTCCTGGTTACTGCAACCTCTTGGGCAACAACTTCTGCTGCTTCCTCTGCGATGTGTCCGCGGCTTCTTTAGTGCCTCAGCAGAAGGTGTGGTCATCTAAATGGCCATCCGTGTTGAACATCTTCTCTCTCTTTCTTGTCTCTTGTCTCGTCTCTCTTTCTCTCCCCTCCATTCTCCTCCCTGTCTCCTTCCTATGAGTTTTGTACTTGTATGTTTCCTCTCTCTCTCTCTCTCTCTTATCTATCGATCCATCGATCTATCAATCTATCACTGTCTTTCCAGGGCTTGTTCATAGGTCATTCAAAGGTCACAAGGGAAACCCTAATCCTAACCCTAAACCCTAAACCCTAAACCCTAAACCCTAAACCCTAAACCCTAAGCCCTAAACCCTAAACCCTAAACCCGAAACCCTAAACCCTAAACCCTAAACCCTAAACCCGAAACCCTAAACTCTAAACCCTAAACCCTAAACCCTAAACCCGAAACCCTAAACCCTACAGGTCACATGTTGACTGGTCAGGATGGCATCTTGCAACACCTCGCCGGGAAGAGCCACCGGAAGGCAGCTCAGCCTGATCTGGGAAGAGAGCCCCGAAGCTCCATGAGTTCAGAGGGTTTTTTTGGGGTTTTGAGGGGATTTGAGGGGTTTTAGGGGTTTTTCGGGGTTTAGGGATTCTTAGGGGTGTTTAGGGGTTTAGAGGTTTTTTAGGGGTTTAGGGTTTTTTTTTGACCCCCGCAAGGCGCGTCTCAGACCTGACGCCAGGCTTGCCAAGCGCATGGTGAGCCGGAGCCGCTGGTCCTCTGCAAGGACCTCGTCTGCGAGCAGGCCGACCGAAGCCCAGCCTTGCATCCCAAGCCTGACACCTTTAACGAACACAGGGCTTAGGGTTTAGGGTTTAGGGTTTAGGGTTTAGGGTTTAGGGTTGAGGGAATGACTCTTGTCAGCTCAATGCTCCGCAGGTCTCCGGCGTGTATCCCTTGCAGGGGCGGCTTCGTGATGGAGACCTGGAGCCGTATCCTGGCCATTGCTGAGGGTTGTTGTGGCCAGTTCTCTAAATTCGGGTCCTTTTTTGGGTACAATGGCCCCGTCAGGGGGCCCTAATTGAGAGAAGCGACCAGCAGGGCTTACGGGGTTTTGGGGGCATATTTGGCCTTGTGCAGGGTCTATCCTGGGCTTTGTAGGAGGGGTTTAGGGTTGCCAGGCTGCCTGTCTCACTAGGGGAGAGCGTCCTGCATCGGGAAATCTGAGAGTCGATCGATATTTGGCGCCTTATGTGGGGTCGCCATCTTACAGGGTATATGAGCAATGCCCGTAGTTTACACCTTGGCGTTTAATTGGGTATTTGAGGGTTTGAGGGTTTGAAGGTTTGAGGGTTTGAGGGTTTGATTGAAACGGCAGCACGTATGGACTTCTTTCGCTGGCTCGTGAGCAGGCCCACTATCCTTCCCCAAACCGACACTTTCCTCAGGAGGAATGCCCAAACCGGAATCCATAAACCACCCTTCACACCTTATAAACCCTCTGTAAATCCTAGAAACCCTGTGATCCTGCCTGCACACGGGCCCGAGTATTGAGCAAAGCAACCTCGAGCTTGAAACGCGGCCTAAACCCGAAACCCGAGATCAAGCCTTAAGCCTAGATCCTAAAATTCAAGCAGCCCTCAACCCTCCAACCGCAACCCTAGACCCTAAACCCTAAACCCTAAATCCTAAACCCTAAACACTAAACCTAAACCCTGAACCCTCAACCAAGCCGTAAGCCCACCGTCATCCAGGATCTTCAGAAAAGGTGCTGGCGCCTGGCTGCAGGCTGGCCCGGGTGCCAAGAAGCTGCAAAGACGCTGGGCCCTTCATCCGGGGGCTTAGGGTTTGGGGGCTTTGTGTTCAGGGTTTAGGGTAGAGGGTTATAGTTCAGGGTTTAGGGTTTAGGGCTTAGGGCTGGGGTCTCAGGTTCAGGGTTTTTAGGGGGCAGAGGAACCCTCTGTCTCTTCTCGGTGGGTGGCGCGTATTGGGTCGAAGGGGTTCATGGTTTAGAAGGTTATACATGGCTTGCAGGCTTCATAGGTTTGCAGGCTTGTTTGTGGAGAAGGGGGGCGGGGTTAGGTGGGCTTGGGGCTTAGGGCCTAGGGCCGATAGGGCTTAACTAGGGCTTAGGGCTTAGGGCTTTAGGCTTCGGGCTTCGGGCTTCGGGCTTGGGGGCTTAGGTCTTTAGGGGGCTTAGGGCGCTTAGGGGGCTTAGGTGGCTTGGGGCGCTTGGGGTGCTTAGGGTGCTGAGGGCGCTCAGGGCGCTTTGGGCAGGGCTTAGGACGCAGGGCTTAGGGATTAGAGCTTAGGTCAGCAGTGCTGATCTAAGGTGCGGCTCCGACCACCTCCTCGTTGCCCAACTCGTGGCAGCCCTAAGCGGGATCACCGGGGGTGTGGCAGGCTGCATCTCTTGAGCGAACTCTACGCCATACATGCGCAACCCTAAGCCCCAAGCCCTAAAACCTCAACCTGAAACCCCAAACCAAGCCGTGAGCCCTTAAACTCCTTTAAGTTCGGTGATTGAGGACCCGGGCCATGGTGGCGAAGGAGGATGTTCTGCCCGACGGAAGTGATCCAGACTTGCTCCTAGGGGCCTATGAAGTCAGAATGGGTCTTTTAGGGTTTAGAACCCACCAAAGAAACGATTCCTTGTAAGGGCAACATGGGGATCATCATCCTCTGTTTTTGGGGAGCTTTTCAGGAAATAATAGTATTCGCACTTCTGTAAGTTGCACCCTTCCTCCTCGTTTTTGCTTTGGGCTGGGGGTCACAGCAAGCCTTGAGCCTTGAGCTTCCCAAACCCTCAACCCCAAACCCAAAACCCTAAACCCGAAACCCTAACCCTAAACCCTAAACCCCAAACCCTAAACCCCAAACCCCAAACCCCAAACCCTAAACCCTGATGGGCAACCGAGGCTTGGTGCGAGCATGGGCGACAGCGTCCTGATTCTGGAGGACCAGGATGCCCAGAGCCCTTGGGCAGCCTGCCTCGCAATCCGGAGCAGTGTAGGGTTTAGGGTTTAGGGTTTAGGGTTTAGGGTTTGGGGTTTGGGGTTTCGGGTTTAGGTTTTAGGGTTGAGGTTTCTGGGCACTTAGGGAGGGGCTTTAGGGGTGCAGGGTTTGTGGGGGCATGAGTGGATTACGGGTTTTGGTGTAGGGGATCAGGGGAGAAGGGTTTGTTTGAACCCCTAACCTCTACGCCCCTCAACCCTGAACCCTCCACCCGAAATCCTAAAGTCCCTATAAAAGCAGTTGCCAAGGTCTGGGCAGAAGTTGACGGGAGGAGAGGCCCTTGGGTCGCGCTCCATGAGCCCGAAAAAGATCTTGAAACCGAAGTTGAAGCCCTCCAACCCTAACCCCTAAACCCTAAACCCTCAGTCCTCACCCCTTAAAGCCCTAAAGCCGCTAGGCCTCGGAGCCCTGACTGCCCCAAAGCCTTGAGCCCCGCGCATGCCCTGAAAGCGCGCCAGGCTGGTTTCCCAGGAAGGCCCTCGTCAAGAAGCTTCCGCCCTGGAAGTTGAGCAAGGTGGGGTAGGGTTTAGGGTTTAGGGTTTAGGGTTTAGGGTCTAGGGTTTAGGGTTTGGGGTTTGGGGTTTGGGGTTTGGGGTTTAGGGTTTAGGGTTTAGGGTTGAGGGTTTAGGGTTTAGGGTTTAGGGGCCCTCTCATGCTTGACCCTACCTAAACCCCCCAAACCTTGAAACCCCAAAGCCCAAAGCCCCAAGCTGCAAACCTCGAACCCGCAACCCCAGACCGACCTAACCCTGCAGCGCAGCCGTCGACTGAAGGTCCGGAGCAAGTCGACTGTCCAGGCGCTCTCGATGTCAATGTCTGCAGAGGTACTTGTTACCGTTGAGGCTTTCGGGGTTGGGGGGGGTTGTATATGGGCCCCAAACCCTAGCCCTAAACCCTAAACCCTGAAGCCTAAACCCTAAACCCGAGGGCCCTTTAGGGTACGAGGTCTAGGACGGCTCTTAATCATGGCGAGGCGCCGTCTTCCGACTTCGACCTGCCAGTTGTTCCGCCCAAGACGCCCCTGGATTGGTCCGACTGCTTGGCCGCGCCGACGCCTGGCCGGATTTTGGAGGTTTAGGGTTTAGGGTTTAGGGTTTAGGGTTTAGGGTTTAGGGTTTAGGGTTTCGGGGAAGCCCCTTCAAGCCCCTTCGCCCTCAAGACTGAGCAGCTCTAAGCAGATCCTGGACCGGGCCCGCCGCGAAGGACATTCCGCTCGACCAAAGACGTGGCAGAGGCACTGCAGCGCGCTGTGAAAACACGTGGTCGCGAGCAGCTGGCATCCGAGCACCTTGGCGTTTTCCTTCTTAAAAGAAGGGCACCTCACTTGCTCGATGTGGTGCTCGTGTCTGGCGTCCTAAACTTCAACCCCAAAACCCCAAGAGACCCAAAAAAAACCTGGAACATTCAGTGCGCGCAGCGCCGAAACCCGCACAAACCACCAGAACCTTGAGCAGCCACCTCAGAGATGCTTGGAGGACTGGAAGGGAGCCTTGCAAATATAGCAGGTGTTGAGCCCCCTTGAGCCAAGGATGTCAGCCGCGGACATGCTGAAAGAAGCCATGCGAGAGACATCTGAGCGCTTGGGCTCGGAGCTTGTGTGGCCGAGCCGGACTCGGGGCATTCCATGCCCTCAGAACCCGAAGGGCCCGCGCTCGAATCTTTCGGGGACTTCGAGAGGGGGCTGGGGCGACAGGAACCGATGACAGCACCGAACAAGCCGTTGGGGAGGTGCGAGACTGGTGGTCCAGCTTCGAACTGTTGCAGGAGGACATGTCACCAGAAGCTTTCCGTGTAAAGAGGGGCCCTGTAAACCTCAAACCCCAAAACTCGGGAAGAGTAGTGACACCATGTCCAGCCAGGACACGATGCCTTCTAAGACGAACTCCGACTGCGATGTGCTCGCCATATGACTGGATGCCCCTGAGGGTCCGGAGAAGCTAGCAAAGGGGCCCCGCCATTGGAAGGGAAGCGAATCCCATGGGGCTTGGCACATCAGATGCCACATTGGGGGAGGGGGAGGGGGATGGGGAAGAATGCGGAGCATCAAAAAGTTGGTTGTCCCTTGTCAGTGACCCCAAATTGTTGAAACCCTAAGCCGTTTTTGACCACTGCAAAGGTCGCAGGTGCAGAACACGCTGCGGAGGAGGTGTCGGAGGAGAGTCAGAAGGTGCGCAAATGTGTTTCCCACCTTATACCCCCCTTACCCCCCTATACCCCCGTTATACACCCTTTTGCCCCTAAACATATTTGTTTTTAGACCCCTTTGAAAACCCCCTTATACCTCCCTTATGCCCCCTTTATACCTCTCTTGCCCCCCCTTATACTCTGGGGTGTCTTCAAGCCACGCCGCCAGAGCCTGACACCCTAAACCCCCAACCCCATGCCCTAAGCAGTTTAGGGGCTGAGGGTCAAGCCACTTCAATATGTTCAAGACCCGAAACCCTACACTCTAAACCCTAACCCTGAACCCTACACCCTAAACCCCTAAACCCGAAACCCTGAAAAAAACCCAGCCTATCGACCTGGCTGCGCAGGTCGTTAAGGTCGTGGAGAACGCGACTCTACAGGCTCTTTCGAGCTTGGAGTCTTTAGGGTTTCGGGGTTGCGGTTTCCGAAGTTTACATGGGGTTCCAGGCAGCCAAAGTTGCGGACTTCACATGTTCAATGCTCTGGGGAACCCTAAACCCTAAACCCTAAACCCTAAACCCTAAACCCTAAGCCCTGGGCCCTGGGCCCTATGGGCCCATGGAGGCATCAGCCTAGACTCATTCCTCTGTTCCAGGTCCTTCCGCGTGTCGTGAATGCCACGGAGGCTTTGCTTGCCAAAGGCACAAAGTCGGCGCACAAGGAAATCAAGGACCTGCGTGTTTCAAAACCCTAAACCCTAAACCCTAAACCCTAAACCCTAAACCCTAAACCCTAAACCCTAAACCCTAAACCCTAAACCCTAAACTCGGAACCCTAAACCCAAAACCCTAAACCCTAAACCCCGAGACCGCAGCCTTAGGGCCTTAAACCACTAAGCCCAAAAATCCTGATCTCTCCACTTTCGAAGGACGTGTCCGATGCGGCAAGGGAAGGGGCCGTGAACGTGGTCAAAGGCACGTGGGACGTGCCGCCGGAAAGTTTTGCTGTGTCAGCACAGACGAGGATTGATCAAGCCGAACACTCTGACCACGACCATCAGGCTCTGCTGGTACTTTGAAGTACGGCTTGAGGTGGTCTAGGGGAGTTGGAGCATCAGTGACTTTAAAGCTTCTTATTCGTCTTCTCCTTCTTCTTCTTCTTCTTCTTCTTCTTCTGTGTGCCTGCTGTCCAGGCCCGTGGAAGTTCCAACGCCGCCGGCATCGGTTCCCTACAGGCTGATCATGTCTGGCCGCACCTGCAAGAGATACTTCAGCTGTTTTCGGGGGCTTGTGGAGCACTTTCATCAGGCACTTTGTGTCCTCTGCAGCTGCTGCATTAGGGTCACGGCCCAAGCCAGTGTTTTTTGAGCATGGTGACATCATAGTGCTGCTAGGTGCGATGAACGAATTCATTCTTCTTCTATGTTCAAGACGGCAGAGCACCTTCTTTCTGATCCGTTCCTCCAAGGCATTCCGTTCTGTACTGGATCACGCCGATCGTGTCCGCCCTGGCGCCCGCGCAGAGTTGTCGCGACCAGCTTCCGGCCAACTTGTGCCTTGCGTGCCTGGTGGCCGAGGTGGTCGACCTGCTGCTCATCTCACTGGCCTTCGTGCTCTTTGAGATTGCCATGGGGATCGGCAGGTGACCCCAAGAAGACGTAGACCGTGAGTATCAAGCCGGCAGCCTTAAAGAGTCGCAGTCGCAGGCATAGTTCGACGTACCTGGAAGAAGGTGCGGCACCAAGAAGCAGCTGGTTTAGGTGGGGTTTAGGTTTGGGGGTGTGGCTTTTGGGGGGATCGCGGCCAGACGTCGTGATTTGTGGCCTCTGCTGCATACATGTCGCGCTTGACCTTTTCAACTGCAGAAATTGTTGCCAGCAAGCCGGTAAGCGTTTTGAAGCTGTCCTGGGGACTGAGTGGTTGAGGTCTCGCGCGGACAGCAAGCAGCCTGATGACGGACATCTGCTCCGGCTGGGCCATCGGCTCAGAAGCACCCAAACCCTGAAACCCCCAAGCCCTTAACCCTAAACCCCAAAATGCGAAACTCTTTCTACTCCTAAGATGCTAAACAAAAAGCCAACTTTCCTAAGCCCCGAACCCCAAGACTCTGAGCCCTGAACCCCTAAACCCAGAAAAACCAAAACCCTATAACAAGCCCTGGATCCAAACCCAGGGTTGAGGGTTGAGGCTGCCCTAGGGCCTAAAGCCTAAACCCAAATCCTAAACCCTGGACCCTAAACCCTAAACCCTAAACCCTAAACCCTAAACCCTAAACCCTAAACCCTAAACTCTGAAGCCTCTGCACCTCGCGGTCGTTCTCAGGTGTGCGGCGCGTCTGCTCTCGTGGCCTTCTGGGTGCTTGGAATCCTCCTGGCGCAGGCGGCATGCTCTTTCTTTGTCATCGCAAAGGTGCCGCAAAAAAGGGCTTAGGGTTTAGGAATTCGGGTTTAGGTTTAGGGTCTAGGGTTTTGGTTTTAGGGTTTGGGAGTGCTGGCCGAGGGTGTTTTTTTGGCACATATGGGTGCGTGCCTGCATCGTAGAGCCTACGGCGTCACCAGGGGGTGTTTGCTCGGGTTCTGCTTGCTTATGTGTACCAGTACTAGAACCCCTGATTAATTGTGAGCCTTTGCTGTCTGGTTATCCGTAGCAGTAGCTTTGGCCACAATGGGCGGGCGAACCTTGAATCCCATCCCTGAACCTTTGTTGTTGAGAAGTTTTCTGGGTTCAAGCTTTCCCTTTCAGATGTCATGGTCTGAGGCTGCCTCTTACTCCTAGCAGAGGGCCTAAACCCTAAACCCCAAACCCCAAACCCCAAACCCCAAACCCTAAACCCTAAACCCTAAACCCTAAACCCTAAACCCTAAACTCTAAACTCTAAACCCTAAACCTAGGGTTGAAAGAGGTTCAGGGTCTAGCTCTCGTGTTTCGGGTGCTTCTGCACGCGTGCTAGGAGCTTCGTCCACTGGCGGAGAAGATCCAGGCACTTACCGCGGTTCAGGGTTTCGGTTTGGGATGTTCCCCCTTATACTAACAGTCCTTAATAATTAGGGATTATAGTACCCCCCTATTTGGTCCCTACTAAGGACTTTTAGTATATTTGGGTTTAGGTGTTTTAGGTCAAGCTGCACAAGCTCACTTGACGATTTGGGTGGTTTTGCGTTGAGGCCCCTCTTGCTCTTGTAAGGCTTCCATTTCACCAGGCTACTTGCAAGAACCCTAGATTAAGCTGGAACCAGCACATGCTCCGACATGAATCCTGGGCCACAAGGTGTTAAATCTTGCCGCAAGGGTTTACTTTTTGGGTCGGCCGTCGTCAGGAAGCCCCGCTCCATCCCATCGTGTCGGTGGTGCTGGGAGTTGTTTGCATGCTGTCGTGCAACTCGGTGTGAAGGCATATGATGGGTGCTATGATTACTTTGGCATCCTTTTGGGTTGACTTTGTTTTCATCTTTCAGAATCAGTCCGAGTATACCCGGCAACTACGCGGGGACAGTGGAACACCCATATGCTGGTCTAGCCAGGCATGCCACAGACAGCGCAGTTTTTCGTGAAGCACGACATGTTTCAATGCATCATTCGCACGCGCAAGCGCAACTGCAGCGTGGCCGAAAGCGGAATTCACCGAATCAGACACTGAGGCATGAGATATGCTGGAGTCTCAGTCGCCCTCGGCCACAACGGTTCCAACGACCTTGCTGACAAAGTGTCGAAAGAACTGAGGCGGTCGGTGCGGTGAACAGGCGGATGGTCGAGGGTTTAGAGTTTAAGGTCTACGGAGTGCCTCGACTTTCCATCTCTGGAGGACGGGATCGTATAGGCTCCTCGAGCGCGATGCGGCAGTGGCCTCAGCCTTCTGCCATCAACAAATACCTAAACCCAAACTCCCAAGCCACAATCTCCCCCCCAACCCAAAACCCCAGGCCCCCTAAACAAGAAACTCTCTACAAACCCTAGACACTAAGCCATAAACCCTAACCCCCCCCCCCCCCCCCCCCAAAAGCCCCCAACCCGACCCCTCCAACTTTGACCTCTCACTGGCAGGTCGTCGAGTCCTTACACCAGGACTCCAAGGAGCACATTCTGACAGAACTTGGTTTAAAGAAAACATCGGTTTAGGGTTTTAGTGTTTAGGGAGTCTAGGGTTTAGGGTTGAGGATCTAGGGTTTGTAGGTTTTCGGGCAAACCGAGCCCCTCAAACTTCAACCACCAGGATTGACTTCAAGCTCAATCTCTTGAGCTGAGGGCAGGAGGTTTCGCGCCTGAAACTGGAGTGAGTAGAGGTTGCATGTGTTGTGGTTGGCAAGAGCCACAAAGCGGCTCATGACAACATGAAAGGGTTTGTCGGCCCGTGACCGAAAAGCAACTTGCAAGCATGAATATATGGGATTTATCAAACATGTGGGCCCCGCGGGATTTACGCACCCGTAGATTTTTCATCACCCGGCCAGGTGTGTAAGTTTTTTGGCTCGTTTGTTCCAATGCTGATACAGCGCCATATACGTCAGCATAGCAAAATGTGTACCCCCTAGATCCTAAACACACAACACAGCCCCAAGTCAAAGCTGCTCCTCGCGCCTCACGAAGCTTTCGAGCTTGTTCCAACACCTAACCTTCACAGCATCTACGCCCTATCACAGCAAACCCTAAACCCTAAACCCTAAACCCTAAACCCTAAGCCCTAAACCCTCAACTCTAAACCCTAAACCCTAAACTCGCAGGATAGCTTTGCACCGCTGCTGGACGACCTCGGCCTGCAAAAGGTTCAGGCGCTCCAGCCGGCAGCCGGGAGCTGAGTTTAGGGTTTAGGGTTTAGGGTTTAGGGTTTAGGGTTTAGGGTTCAGGGTTCAGGGTTCAGGGTTCAGGGTTTAGGGTTTCGGGTTTAGGGTTTAGGGCTCAAGGCTTAGAGGTTTGGTGTTCAGGCTTGGAGTTTAGAGGTGTTGGAGTTTTCATTGGGGATTTGGGGCGTATGTGTTTCGGAGTTCGGGCTTTTGGGATTTTGCGGTATGGCAGTTCGGTAGCTTTGGTCTGTTCTTTGTGTTCAGTGGAGTAGTAGTGCAGTGGAAGAAGCCCTTTGCGCTAATCCACGTGGAGAAGGGGCATATGCATACACATGTGATGAAGCGTCAAGGAAGTTCAACGTTGCATCTTACGCCGAACCAAGCGCCTGAGCAGAGTAGCTGCGCCATCCCATCACCGATGGAGCCGTGTCTTAGGGAACGCAGTTGCCTGCAGCTTCGGAACTTTCTTGGCATCTCCACCAACCCTAAGCCCTAAGCCCTAAGGCCTAAACCCTGAATCCTAAACCCCCTAAACCCGAAACCCTAAACCCTAAACCCCAAACCCCAAACCCTAACCCCCAAACCCCAAACCCCAAACCCCAAACCCCAAACCCCAAACCCCAAACCCCAAACCCCAAACCCCAAACCTCCAGGCTGCGCCAGATCATTGGAGTTTCACAAGGCTCGGCCGCCAAAATGTGCCTAGGGTTCTGCCTTTCTCTGAGGATTTAAGGCCTTAAACCCCCAAACCCCAAACCCTAAGCCAAGACCAGTGTTTAGGGGTTAGGGCTTAGGGTTTCGGGTTTAGGGTTTAGCGTTTCGTGCACCCTAGGCCCCAACAAGGGCCAGGCACAGGGTGGGGTTTGGGGTTCCGGGCTTGGGTCTTAGGGTTTAGGGTTTAGGGTTTAGGGTTTAGGGGTTTAGGGGTTTAGGGGTTTAGGGGTTTAGGGGTTTAGGGGTTTAGGGGTTTAGGGGTTTAGGGGTTTAGGGGTTTAGGGGTTTAGGGGTTTAGGGGGGCCGCCAGGTGCCTGTGTGCAGCCTTGGCTGGAATCTTTGGTTCTCTCCTCGCTGCGGTGGAGGACTCGGGAAAGGGAGCATCGGTCGGCATCCTTGGGGACCAAAAAACCGTAAAAGGGTTATGCTTCATATATAGCTGCAAAGAAATTACAGGAGGGGATCACAGCCAGGGGTAGAGGAGAGACGCTCTCTAAATGATATGCCCGTTTAGGCACCGGAAGCTGATAACAGAGGCCCCCCTGAAAAGGCCCTATGGCGTACATTAATCCCCCCCACCTCACCTCAACTGCCAGGGCCCTCTCTGCACGACGGCCATCAGCACAACCTACAAGGCCGGACAAACACGTGTCAGGACGCCTGGACAGTCCGATTCCGCTTTCAGGGTTGTCATCATCCCAGGCAAACCCTAAACCCTGAACCCTAAACCCTAAACCCTCAAGCCTAAACTCAAACCCCCAGCAAAAATCCCTGATCAAATCCTGTCCAGGCCGTTCTGATGAGCCACTGGATGTGGGGCTGTGGAGCTCAGCTTGTTTAAAGTTTATCACTAAACCCTAAACTCTAATTCCACGATGCGCCTAAGGCTTCGTGCCGTGGGGCCTCCTGCTCCCGGAGGCTGCTCTCAAAAACTGTTGGAGTTCTCCGCAGGGAATTTGGCTAGGCACCATACCTCCCAAGAAAACCCTAAACCCTAAACCCTAAACCCTAAACCCTAAACCCTAAACCCTAAACCCTAAACCCTGAACCCCAAACAGGTCCTTGGAATCAGGCTTCCACCCGAAGCCCTGATTGCGTGCGTCGCGGTCGGCGCCATCTTGCTCGGCCCTGGCCTCAGTGCGACGCTGTGCAGAGGGGCCTTAGGGGTTTTTGAGGGGTTTTGGAGGTTTTAGGGTTTAGGGTTTAGGGTTTTGGGGGCCTTAGGGGTTTTGGAGGTTTTGGAGGTTTGAGGAGTCCTGAGGAGTCTGTTCCAGGGCTTTGCGGTTTAGGGGGTCTTACGGGTTTTAGAGGTTTTAGGAGTTCAGTGGCTTTAGGGGGGCTTAGGGGCTTAGGGTTCGGGTTCAAGGGCTTGGGGGCCTGGGGTTCTGGTGGCGACTGGGTGAGGTGCGTGCCTCCATGTGCTACGGCAGAAGTCCGGCGCAGAGCCAAGCATCTCAGAGGCATCTCCTGGCATGTCTGACGCCTCATCTGACCCCAAGAACCCTAAACCCCAAACCCTAAACCCCAAACCCCAAACCCCAAACCCTAAACCCTAAACCCTAAACCCGAACCCTAAACCCTAAACCCTAAACCCTAAACCCTAAACCCTAAACCCTAAACCCTAAACCCTAAACCCTAAACCCTAAACCCTAAACCCTAAACCCTAAACCCTAAACCCTAAACCCTAAACCCTAAACCCTAAACCCTAAACCGCTACGAAACTGCCGAGGCCAGGCAGCCGGTGGAGCTCACGGCAAGACGACAGAGGACGCGATGCCAGGTTTGGGTACTTGGACGTTCGCTGGCAGTCAAAACTGGGGTTTAGGGTTTAGGGTTTAGGGTTTAGGGTTTAGGGTTTAGGGTTAGAAGTAGGGTAGCTTGGGCTATCTGTCTTGTCCTTGTGGTAGCCCTAAACCCTAAACCGAAAAACAACCCAAGGATGAAGCCCTAAACCCTGCTCCCCTAAACCCCTAAGCCCGGTTCACGGCTTACTATACCACTTGGGATGTTCCCCCATTGTGCTAGCAGTCCTTACTTGGGATTATGGTACCCCCGATTTTCATCCATACTATGTGCAATCAGCCCCAAGAGCCATTAAAACCCCCAAAGTCTCAGTGCTTCTAGGGTTAATGCTCTGGAGTTTAGGGTTCAGGGTTCAGGGTTTGGTGTAGGGTTTGGGGTTTGGGGTTAGATAAGAACTTTGAGCCAGGAGAGGCGGGCCCAAGCCCCCAGTAGCGAGAGTTGAGCCCCCGTGGGCCGGATCCCTTCCGGGAGGATCCTGAGATCACTCGCGGTTTAGGGTTTAGGGTTTAGGGTTTAGGGTTTAGGGTTTAGGGTTTTGTAGGATTAGGGCCGATTGGGGTTTGGGGGTTTCAGGGATAAGGGTTAAGGTTGTTGTTTAGGGGGGTTTCGGGTTGAGGGGGCTGAGGCTTGCTGGGGTTTAGGTTTTGCTGAGGTCTAGGTTTGGAGGGTTTGGGTTTTCGGGTTTGGCTAGGTTCAGGGTTTACGCCCTAAACCCTAAACCCTAAACCCTAAACCCTAAACCCTAAACCCTAAACCCTAAACCCTAAACCCTAAACCCTAAACCCTAAACCCTAAACCCTAAACCCTAAACCCTAAACCCTAAACCCTAAACCCCTAAACCCTAAACCCCTAAACCCTAAACCCCAAACCCCCAAACCCCTAAACCCCTAAACCCTAAACCCTAAACCCTAAAGCCTACACCCTACACCCTACACCCTAAATCCTAAACCCTAAACCCTAAAATGCTCGGGGCGGTTGAGGGCTTTGGGGGAAGCCTCGGGATTTTCAGGCTTTTGGGCTTCGACCGCTGGATCCCTCAAGGGGGTCCGCGCAGATAACGCTCGCCTTCCGATCCCGGCACAGAGGGTTTAGGGTTTAGGGTTCAGGGTTTAGGGTTTAGAGTTCAGACTTCAGGGTTCAGGGTTTTGGGTTTAGGGTTAAGCCATAGGCTGCTTGTACTCTGAGATTGCAAATTGGGGTTTGCGAAAATCGGGGACCCCCTAGATAGATCCCCAAATAGTGAGATTCCCCTTGTAAAGAGGACCCCCCAATGTGGTACCCCTAAGTTCTGAAACCGCGAAATGGGTTTGGGATGGTCTAGGCAAGCCCCTGCAGTGAGTGGAACGTTTGTGGCCGTGAGGGATTGGAAGCTGAAATTCATGCACGCCCCGAGTGTGGATTCTTGTCTGTATCTTGGCTAGTGGGGGTGTGGGGTTCAAGGGTTTTAAGTTGGTGGTGCTGCAAGCAACGAGCAGTCATATTGCTGTAGTCATCCTCACCCATGCACGATGTAAACTGCCCCCGTGTACAGGTGCGGACACCATCGCATGCAAGAGCCATTGCACCAAAATGCGCGTAGTCAGTCTAGTCGCCATTGCCTTGCTGCTTGAGAATGCTGCTATGCCACATTTCCTCTTGCTGCCTCCTCCACAAGCGACCGCGGCTGTCCTCGTCGACTGGCCGCGCGCTTCTTCTCCCGGAAGCTGGCCGCACCTCGCTGCAGCTCCTTTTGTGGATTAGTTGAGGGAGCAGGTTTGCAACCTACATATAGTCCTAGCAAGTACGTTAAGACTAAACCCTGAGCCCTTTTTTTGAAGATCTTAGCCGGTGCAGCCAACGGGTGCTTCTCTTGGCAGCCGTTGGGTTAAGACAGTGCTTTGTCTTCGCGAGATCGTGATTTAGGATTCCCATTCCTGCCCCTTTGGGTCCGGTGTTTGAAGTGGGCGTTATTGAGCCCTGGGGTTTAGGGGATCTTTTTGGACTCTTTGAATCTCCGCTGCTGTGGCCGCCGGTTCAAGGTGCCAATGCGCAACGCACATGGGCAGCTCTCTGAATTATATTCCTTTCATATGGCTACGCAGAATACGAACCCCAGATGTAGTGAGCCCCCCACATGTCAAAGACCGGAGACACCATAAGTGGCACTTCGCGAGACATGGTCTGGTAGCTGCCGATACCCTGAACCCCTGAGCCTTATGCCCAAACCCTGAACCCCTAAGCCTTGTCCCCTGAACCCTAAGCCCCCAAGCCCCTTAAACGTCCCTAAGCCCCTAGCTCCCTGAACCCCAGCCCGATCAGACCTTCGCCTGTCGGACGTCGCCCTCTCGCCCTCGATGATATGTCCGACACAAGCTGGGGATGCCAGGCGGTGGAGGCATCACTGGTTGGGTTTAGGGTTTAGGGTTTAGGGTTTAGGGTTTAGGGTTTAGGGTTGAGGGTTGAGGGTTTAGGGTTTAGGGTTTAGGGCGTAAGGGCGTAGGGTTTAGGGTTTCCGAAGACTTGTATACGATTCATGCCAATCGACCGTGTTTCTACTTTAGGGGCAAAGGGTCCCTGAAGCCTAAACTCGGAGCCATAGAATCGCCAGTTGCGCCCCAAGTTGTCCAAACCCCGAGCAGTATAGACCCCTAAGCCCTAAACCCTAAACCCTAAGCCCTAAACCCTAAACCCTAAACCCTAAACCCTAAACCCTAAACCCTGAATCCTAAACCCTAAACCCTAAACCCCAAACCCTAAACCCCAAACCCCAAACCCCAAACCCTCAACCCTAAGCCCTAAACCCTAAACCCTAAACCCTCCAGCCATGACAGGAGTGCGCTGTACCAACCTGGGAGCATGTCGCAGGCTGCCGTTTTGAGTGTAGGGTTTAGGGTTTAGGGTTTAGGGTTCAGGTTTAGGGTTTAGGGTTTAGGGTTTCGGGTTTCGGGTTTCGGGTTTCGGGGTTTAGAGGTTTTAGGATTTAGGGTTTGGGGTTTCGGGTTAGGGGTTTTAGGATTTAGGGTTTAGGGGTTTCGGGTTTAGGCTTCGGGGCTTTAGGATTTAGGGTTTAGGGGTTTCGGGTTTAGGCTTAGGGGTTTCAGGATTTAGGGTTTGGGGTTTCGGGTTCAGGGTTTCAGGGTTTTGGGGTTTAGGGTTTGGGGTTTGGGTTTAGGGTTTTAGATGTTTGGGGTTTGGGGTTTGGGGTTTAGGGTTTTGGGTTCGGGTTTTGGGCTGTTCTTGGCAAGAACATGTGACAGCCAGCCCTAAACTAAACGTCTCCTTTTTTCGTGGTGGCGGGAGAGGGGGTTTGCCTGCAAGCCATTAACCGTAAACCCTAAACCCTAGACCCGAAACCCTAAACCCGAAACCCGAAACCCTAAACCCTAAACCCCAAACCCCAAACCCTAAACCCTAAACCTGCCCCGAGGAATTCACCCGATGACCCTGGCATCTTTTGGATCCTGTCACCCAGCAGGGCCTTTCTTTGCCCACGAGCTTAGAACCTAAATCCCTAAACCCCAAACCCGAAGCCCTAAACCCTAAACCCTAACCCCTAACCCCTACACCCTAAACCCTAAACCCTAAACCTCAAACCTCAAACCCTAAACCCTAAACCCTAAACCCTACACCCTACACCCTACACCCTGAACCCGAACCCTGAACCCATCATGATTATTGTGTGTGCAGGCCAACTCCTCGTCGCGGCCGCTTGGAACTGTTTGGTGCTTCAGCTGACGCCTCGCTTCGCGTCTTTGCCGCGCGTGCGCTTGCTGACCCCTGAACTCCTTATCTCCAAATATACCCACCCTAAACCCTAAGCCCTAAGCCCCAAGCCCTAAACCCCAAACCCTAAACCCTAATCCCCGCCTGTAAAGCCGAGAAATGTCTGGGAAGCCCCCCAGCATGGCAGGCCGGGCTCTGGGCGCTTTTCGTCCTGGCCGGTGGCCTGCTCCTCAGGTCCCGGTTCTCTGGGGATTAAGGGGGGTTCGGGGTTGAAGGTTTGGGGTCCCTAAACCCTAAACCCTAAACCCTAAACCCTAAACCCTAAACCCTAAACCCTAAACCCTAAACCCTGAACCCGAAATAGGGCTTCGGGGTTTAGGGTCGTCGAATATGGCATACGGGGTTTTTGGGGCAGCGTTTAGGGGTTTCGTGGTTCCGGGTTTAGGGCTTAAGGGGTTCAGAGGCTATTCGTTTAACGGTATTGGGTTTGATAGGTATAGGGGTGCAGGAGTTGAGGGTTTGTTTTTACGGCTTATGGGTTTTAGGTGTTAACTTTTGGGGGAATTCATGGTTTTAAGGTTTTTTCAGGGCTTATGGTTTATGGTTTAAGTGTTTGGGGGTTTTGGATTTAAGGTTTAAGGTTCTGATATGAGGACTTAAGGGCCGAAACCAACCCCCCAAACCCTGAACCCTAAACCCAAAACCCTAAACCAACCCTAAACCCTAAACCCTAAACCCTAAACCCCAAACCCTAAACCCTAAACCCTAAACCCTAAACCCTAAACCCTAAACCCTAAACCCTAAACCCTAAACCCCCCCCCCCCCAAACCCCATGACCCTGAAGCCCAAACTCAAGGGACTAAGACTCGTACGCCTAAGGTTGTATGCCAGGTTCCCCTTAATATACTCCTAATATGGCCCTTATACGACCTAGAGGATCTTCAAACCGGGTCCCCAAACCCAAGGGTACAACCTTAAAAGTCCAAGGTGCAACCCTTAGATAAACCGTACACCTTAAACCCTAAACCCTAAACCTTAAAACCCCAAACCCTAAAACCTAAACCCGAAACCGCCAAGTGCTGTGGACAACCTTGGCGCCCTTTATCGACTTTGACTTCCGCGGGACCTTCGGACGCTACCAGTGCGCCGCCAAATGCTCTCTAAACCTTAAACCCTAAGCCCTAAACCCTAAACCCTAAGCCCTGAGCCCTGAGCCCTAAGCCCTAAGCCCTAAGCCCTAAACCCTAACTTCAAGGTTCAGGGGTTTGGGGTTGTTTTTTCACCCCAAGCCCTGAACTAAAGGGCCCCCGAACCCGAGCCCAGCCCCTTAAACTAAACCCCGCAAACCCCAGTCTGTGTGGGGAGGTATGGCCTGGCTTCGGCAGGAACGGGTGCCGGCTTATGCCTGACAGGCACGCGGGTCTTCGGGGGGTTTGGGGTTTAGGGTTTAGGAGTTCAGCGTGCCCTCAATGGGAAGCAGAGATCGGAGGCAGAGATCTCGTCCCATTTTCCAGTGCTTTTGTTGACATTCGCTTATCTGCTTCGGGTGCGCAGGCTGGGAAGCGGGGTTTGGGATTCGGGTTGATAGAAGGGCAATGTCGGTACCCCCAAATGGGGACCATCATCACAGATACATGCTGGTCCTGATTAGGGTCCTAGCGTATATCCTATATATTCTTTATATGCATATATCCATATGAGGGTAGCTTAATGCGAGTTCGCGTCTAAGACTCCGAAGCT